TGCACAGATGAAGATGGTCAAAAATACCCTTATTTTCCAAGACATATTTTACTCTGTTAGTAATCCAAGGAGTTACGTAAGACAAATTTTTGATTTTATCGCAAATAGGCCAATCAGACAAACGCGAGCACATGACTGGTATAGTATCCAATCCTATGGGTATTTCCATCTACACCTGGGTACAGTATCTATACACAATCTTGTTTTTTCGGAACCGTATTCTGTCCTTCTATACTCTGAGGAGTGTCAGACGAAAAAGCTTTTTGTATGATTGTAAAATGTTTGCTTCTTTCAAAGCCATTTTCAGATACATGTTAATGTATCACATGAAAGGTTCGCTAAGTTGACGGGCTACTTCGACATTAGATTTTCATCCAGGAGAACGCATATAAGTGGATTTTTTTTCTGGTTAATGTGCTTCTAGCCGATTGTGACTTTGATACTTGACTGAAAAGAGAGGGTCTGGCGGTTGGAATCAAAGGACACGGGATAGGAAATTGTAAAATAGCGAGGTTCTATAGTTTGTGCCATTTGCTCATAAACATTGTAATATCGAAACTTTGAAGTGATAATTGGAAGTGCGCCAATATCTGCGAGGGTAATTCCATTTGCGTTGATAAGCTATTTATTATGATATCTTATAGATTAGTATATCTCATTAATTTATCATCCTGTCGTTACGGTCATGGCTTTGGTGTCATCGATAACTTATCATTATTTTTTCATGACTATCATTGATAATAGATAAATACGTCATACACCTAGACATTGCTTTTTGTAATGTTACGCTGAAAGAAAGCACTGTTTCAGTTGAAAAACCACTCTTTTTTGGAGATTTGCTCAATGAAAAACCACTCCTTTGTGGAGATTTTTCACGGAGCATTGCTCAATGTAAAGGGCCCTGCGATCGTGGGATAGCGTGAGCAATTTTCCATATTCCACATGTTTGCGATAAAAAACATTCCTAGCAGTTGTTACCAGAACATGCATTTTCCTAACTCCACCATAACTTTCGATTTTATTACAGGAAAATTACTCTTTGAAACGTTATGAACTGAGAAAAATGATTGCTTTAATTCATAACGAAGGAATATTCTAAGCAGTTTGATTAATTCAAGTAAAAAAGATCCACTAATTGATTTAATGTTGATTCGAGACAGCCTTGCGTTCCTCGACAAATTGATATTTGATTGGGAGGATAGCCGTTTCGGTTAAATAAATCCAGTCTGGAGAAAATTAAAAAGCCTTTATTGAATGCCATAATTATTGGGAATACATTTAGAGGGATTTTCGGGTTTTCGAATTTTCTTATGTTCTGGCAGTTGCCATCTTTTGGCTTTGGAAACTGAGCCTCGTATGCATCAATCTGAACAGCTTTTTGTTGTAGTAGGCATCATGAAATTAGTTCTCAAGTTCATCTCAGTAAACTTTATATTTTTGACAGAAAATTTGTTGTATTTCCATGCTGTGTGGGGGGCAATTATTCTTGGATTTAGGGGGGGACATTGCAGCTGAATGGGGCCGAGCATTTGAGGGGGGCCAAGCAAATAACTGCACTCTTTCAAAAATATCTTTCGCCCTACCCCCACCATTAATTATGATTGGTCCCTTAGCTTTCCATGTTGTCTATAATGCAAGAACAAAAGTGATGGGTTAATCGGAGTTTAAATGAGGGGTGTCAAACTCAAGGCCCGCGGGCCAAATCCGCCAGTGACACATCAATATGTGGCAAGCAAGACAATCAGATATGTCTGTTATTAAAAGCACCTTCGTAAATAGTGCTTATACCACTCATTCTACAAACAACATTCATATCACGTTCTCATTTATCGAAACTCAAATTTCTGTTTAAAGGATTGTGCTAAAGCTCACAATTGGGTACAGTCTTTATTTTCAATAGGAAAGTGATACTGGTTGCGCACCATTTACACTTGTGTGCCCACTTTTTTGATTGGCCTATTTCGATCCATAACTGGTATACATTGCTCTTAGCTTTGAGCTTTCAATCGATGTTCTGACGTTTTATACTTTAAAGAGCGCCAGAAGAAAAGTTTAAAATGTTTGCTTTATTCGAAGCTTTGTTAATTTTTGTACCACTAAAAACTGTTTGAAGGATTGTCTGTTATTTTCAGGTCAATTATTTTTTATTCTTTCTTTCTGCTGGCTAGTGAAAACGTGTTGGCACGTTTATTAATTTAGTTTAACAACATATACAAAAACATTATTAGCAAAAGTTCACGCTTACCAGTGTGGTGTAAAAGTTACAAACAAGACCAGTTGTGATAATTGTTGCAGTGAGAGGTACTCCAGCCACTAGAAAAATTTAAAGTTACTTATTAAGATAAACAATATGAGGTTGAGTTTGGGGTCGAGTTCCAATAAGAATTCCGTATGAAACTCGACCTTAAAAAGAAAAGTGTTCTTTACTGGTAACTAGAACCAGGCAGATAAAACGATGCCTTAAACGGAGGGGGACACTAGTTTTAGCAGAAGATTTAGTACCCTCTGCATAAATTTAACTGATTTTGCATTGAATTTTATACCCATCCGTAATAAATGAAGATAACTGCCAGGGCCGCCTACACATGGGGGGGGGGCTGGAGGGGCTGGAGGGGCTGGAGGGGCTGGAGGGGCTGGAGGGGCTGGAGGGGCTGGAGGGGCTGGAGGGGCAGCTGACCTGAAATATAAGAAAATATGATCTTATCGATATTTGATGACCACTTTGACCACTCTCGTTATGTTAATTTCTATCAGAAAATCTTAGAGAAATGATAACACAAGCTAAGGTATAGATGTACATGCTTTGGTATGTAGTACAGGGATATTTATATTTGTAACTACAAGCTTTACCCTTTATGGTGACCATCAGGCACCTGTTCTGGATTATGCGTTCCTAGGCTATATGGTCCTCCATTATGGACTCTTGATTGATTGCGCAATAGACACACGCTAGACAGAAAGCTTAAAAGCTTTTGCGCAACCGGTACGCTTTGCGACCATGATTCAAAAGACCAGGCCTAATATCGTACTGTATGAAAATACAAAACACATTCAATTTCTCAAATCAACGTCCGCTAAGCATGCCGGTTGACCAAGAGCCTTTAACTTATTTCATTTTTACATGTTGGGCAGCTCAAGAATGCAGTCAAGCATCAACAGAATAAACATGTCAATGCTTTTTCCCACGATAGAAATCACTGAAATCTCTCAACCTGCATGAAATGAGTTCAGCAATTATGAGATCTTAAATCTTATGAAGCTTTAGGGAATGGTCACATTAAGGGTAAAGCTTGTAGTTACAAACATAAATAGCTTGTAGTTACAAATATAAACATCCCTGTGCTACATACCAAAGCATTTACATCTTTACCTTTGGTGCCAGGGCTGCACAAAATGAGACCGCATAAATGAGATCTGTGGAGACGAAGGGAGAGAAAGAACCCACTTTTGTTTCCTTTACCTTCTCTCTGTCTCTCGATGCGAAACCGGTGCCTCTAATTTTTGCGGTTTTTTTCTGCATTGCAACGAATCCCTCGCTCCAAAATTTGAAAATGAAATTTATGACCTTCCATTACAATTAGGCTGTAGGCAATGCCATCGCTAGCTTTTGTGTCCGAGAGCAGTGATCAGACCCTATTTGCCAACAACGTGAGTGAGGCCTCTTTTATTTGTCGAAAAGATAAAACATTAACCGAAAAAATACCCCTAGATGACAAAACCTCTTTCAAACAGAGTACATTCAGTGGTTTTAGACTAGTTACCATATGAACATGAGGGCAGCTTTTTGCATTGAAAACTGTGCACCAACTATTGGCCTTGTGTGTTTCTTTGTAATAGTGACATAAGGCAGTACACATTTTTTTATAAGATTACCTAATTTTTTTCTGAGCCTCAATATTCTTAAATTTTCTTTATTTTGAACCCAAAAGTATTCATAAATCATTCTTAAGCGACACAAGGCGACTCCAAGGCCAGATACGTCTATTTCAAGACCTACGTATAGCGTGAAACTAGCAAGTGTTTATTTAGAGAACTCGAACGATAGGACCAAAGTGGCACGTAGAGTTTACAGGATGCAAAAAGAACTAAAAAAATGGGGCCTACGATTAGTTAATGGTTGGTGGTCCTCCGTTTGTTATTGGTTAGAAGAAGAAAGAATCTGTACATACCTGCCTCCAACGCAAGACTTGGTGCGTAAAGTACGACTGACAAATACAGCAACTGAAAATGAGATACATAATCAAAACATTGTTCTGACTTGAAAATAAACATTAACTAACACTGCACGATTTTAAACAAAAAACTTTTGTTTTAAAATAAAGAGTTCAAAATAATAATCTACATTTTTAAGTGTTTTACTTAATTTCAGTCTTATGCTAGTTCTTCATCGTTAAGTTTTCTATATTTTTTATTTCTTTCTTGGTCCATTATTGATAAACGAAATATTGTAGATGAACAAAGCATCGCCTGTTTTACACTTGTTATGTTTTTTACACTTGTGTCGTTTTTTGGTGAAATAACACCTCGAGTAGAGAGGCATTTTCGTTGAATAAACAGATTAATATCACCAGTAACTACAGAGGTAACCCTTTCACTTTCACTAACTCAAAAACGTTACCACATCTAAATAAATTAACTATTAAAAAATTCAGAAAATATGGTGCTACACTATTAAGGAATCATCTTTGAGTCCCTTAATTTCAAAAAAAAGGTTGGTTTGGACAAAAGAATCAGCTTCTCTGATATCTGCCATAACTTCCTTTTTGGAGAGAAAAATGCTATGTTTTCTTATTCTAGTTTAGCTTTCAGAAGCATGCAAACATTAATGGTTTCTAATGCTAATGCTAAAATCGGAAATTTGAGACATTTAGTGAATTCAGCCCAAGGTTCTTGCGACAGGGGTCATGTAAAACTTTGTATGTCATGACCCCCTTGTCAAACGAGAATAGAGAAGCCATGTACAGATCCTCAAGGACCGCAGAGCTTATAACGGATTGAGGGGGGCTTAAACGTATTTGTGGGGGGGGCTTAAGATGCTAAAAACCAAGAACAGGGCGATTTTTTGTATGGTTTTAGCCCTCCCTCGCTCCCTGGGTTATTTTTGTATTGGAGAGAGCACCTAAGACTAAATGTCCATAGCAGAAAACGCTTTCAAAAAAGAGTTCAATGTATTTATTATTATCTCCAGGTTTATCTACATAAAATAGCGGGCCAATGAAGGTCTATGTTTATTGAAAAAGTGAGCGGGTACTTTTGGCTCGCCCTGTGTTATTCTTCTCATTCCAGTTTTGCAAATCAAATACCATCAGAATATGATTTGTATGTTTTCACTAATAATGGAGAATTCTTTGTTGTTTCACTAGACGTTCCAATTGCCTAGGCCAAACGCTTATAAAATTTCACCAATCAACGGCCAAAATCCTTTGAGGTAGAATTTTGCGACTTTTTTGCAATCCCATATTGGCTGATCTTGGCACGTGCAAAATAAGTACGTGCCCACTGTAACAAATCTGCTAAAAGCCATTTATATCGCTAGGTAAATTTGTAGACACTGAGTAAACTGCATTTTAAGAACACTTAAAGCCTTCTGCTTGTTACTTTACCTGTTTTGGATTACAATTGAAAGAATCTACTAAAATCTCGTCAGAACTAGTTTTATTAAAACAATATTTGACTTCAATCATCACATCTTTCAATCATCTTCCAGTAAATTACCATATTTTAACAAGACGGTTCAAGTATATATCAAGAAGCTTTTAAGCAAAAGTACAGCTTTGCAAAATCAGAAAAAAATTGGAACGTTTCTGACATAGTAACAGATAAGATTATGCCTTTACACCAAATTCGTTAGCGAACTACGCCGATTAAAGAAACTGCCTACAGATACGGCAAACCCTAAGCAATTTGGGACATTTTAATTCAAAAGAAGACAGAGTTTAAAGTGTCAGGATTAAATCCCAGTGCATTTTTGTATAATTCTCAAGCAGGATTGCCGCACTTAAAAATTAGTAGGGGGGCTCTTTGTTATAAGCAGATTCTAGAAGCAACATTCGTGAAAACACCCATTATACTGGTATTTATGGTAAAGATATTCTGCTCATAAAATCATTCAAATATTTCACTTATTTGATCTACTTCTTTTTGGAAGTAAGGCTTACAACGAGAAAGCAAATAAATTGATACTGAAATGCACCGTTGAATACGTCAAGCAAACTAAACGATTTCAATAAATTATCTTTAGTCGTTGCCTGCTATATCAGGTAGATTGAATCCTGTGGTCCTGAACTAACATGGTGACCTATACAAAGTTGCATTTTGTAACAGTGTTGTACTCAGTGGCGTAGCGTGAGCGCAGAACTTAGGCATGCGGTAACATAAAATATACGGCTATGTTGAATAAATGTAATGGTAATTTCAGTTTCTAAAAAATACAAGCGGTAATTAATGATAATCGTGATAGCAAATTTTGATTTTCAAAGTAACAAATTATTTGTACTCTAATTCTAATCAATCAAGGTGTATATTCTTAGCATCAGAGGCTCCGACAGAGGTTGGAAAGTGAAGAGGGGCCAAGGGAAAAATTATCATCCATGCGAAAGTTTTTGAAAAAAGCTCAATTGTTTAGCAAGACTTTTCAGAATAACTCCTAGTGCTAAAACTGCTTTGCAAAAGATTTTATTCTTATTCATATTCCTCAAGAAAAGGCATCACCTAATGCCCACCTAATGTAAGAATTTTTTATGCTATAATGAAGCTGGGGATTCCCGCAAGAAGGAGCTCTCCACATTGCGAAATTGTTAACACACTGCAGAGCCTGAGCGAACAGGAGCAACAGTTTCTGCTCATTTTTTACTCTCATAGTTAACTAAGATGAAAATAGTGAGCTGTGAGAGTTGTTAGAATTGAAGATGCTTCCATGTGTAAAGTTTCAGAAAGTTAGTCCCGGCAAATCATCATGTATTTGGCAAGGCTTGCGCTCAGGTCTACCGCATGCCCTGGTCCGTAAATTCTGGCAAGCCTTTTGACTTGAATTACGGAATGCGGATCATGACAAATAGACTCTGAACCCACTTTGACGAAACTTTTTCTCTTTTCAACAGTCACAAAGTAAAGAAAGGAAAATAATTGGATTTGAAATGATGTATCACGCAAAGAGTATTCGCAAAAAGCAGCTTATAGGTAGAAAAATGTTGTGGATTATCAAATATTTGGGAAGGCTTGCGCTCAGGCCGACCGCAAGCTCCAGTCCGGAAAATTCTCACTTCTCTCAGAAGCTTCTTTCGAGTTGCACTGAAGCTGCACTGGAGCATCACATGTTTCTCTTATTTTGGACAGGCAAAAAGAGTGATGTGGAGGGGCTTCAGTTTTTCAGATTTTTCGAATTTCATAATTTTTAGCGATCTGTTTACTTGGAAAAATAGCCAATTGGGGCCAATTGGCCTGTTGGCGCTAGAGTTCACTGCATGCTGCTCATGACAAGAAAGAGAAGCCGTTTATTGCGGAAATTGTTATGCATTGAAAGTGTTGCAAGAATTTTAGAATTTATCTATAAATTTTTACGCTTGCGCCGCAAGCGTAGCATACATAGACGCTACGCCACTGGTTGTACTGTATTTGTACTGTATTCTATTGTATTGTGCTGTGTTGTTCTGTATTGTGGATTTATAGTGTATTTATAGCGTTAAGTTTCGGGTATTTGTAATGTTGGGTGTGGAGGCAACTCGATAACGTTATATTTTTTGCCTCCATCTCAACAATGATCAACTTGAGTTTTTTTTGTATTTTTTTTATTATGATAAAAAAACATTTCACTGACGGGTTGCCAACGCAGATTAATCCAACCAAACGTGTGCTCACTTGCTAAGAGGGCTTAACATGGGGGCTGAGCCCCGAAATTCGACACCCCCTTCCTCAAGACAATGAAATCTGTTAGCATAAAAATCTTCAGTTTTTATTATCACTTATGTTGCTTTTGGTTTTCTAGGGCAGAATAAAGTTGCGGGGTTGCCAGCTTTGCAAGAATGCGTTTAGAATCAACAAGGTAAGAGAAGCTTAAAATGAAAACTTACGTATTGTAGCATGAATAGGAAACACCCTAATGATCGTACGCCAGGAGAGAAACGCATTTCAAGGTACTGCAAAGAAAATTCAAATTTTATTCGATAATATGAATCAAATAATCATCATCATCATCATCATCATCATAATCAACTTCAGTATTATTCACGGTATGCGAGAACCTAAAACATTGTCGCAAAGTTGACAACAAAAACTGAATTTGATACTTTTCAAATAAATTAATTAGGATGAAATGAGACAAAAACATGTGAACAGTTTATGCTCCTTGTAGTTTTGGCGACAGAAGGGAGGAACTTAAGACAACGTAAATATACAATGAAAGGCATTTTCTGGAAATATAAACAGATTGTGTTATATAATAGTGTTTTTTGGCAAACGTATAGATACTTTAGAGTCGACTCTGAGGGGCCTCCTCTAAATACAAAGGCTCATCCTCTGAAATACGGCCCGTAACCAATCTAATCTTTACAGCCAACAGACAACGAGAGTGGTATAACCGCAAGATCTGGAGTTTCAAAAATGTCAATACAACACTGAAATTGGAATACAGTACTTCGGCAAAAGTGGCTCTATAGGTGTGTGGAAGGAGTGTATGGGGGCCCGTTATCTACTGTTAAGGTTTGAAGTTGTCTTCTGGGCCCATCATCATCATCATCATCATCATCATCATCATTACATTTACATTTAACAACCCTTTTGGGTCATACAAATGTCTGCCCAGTCAACTGCAACATTAAAATTTACTCAGGCGCAGGCTTGTTGACTCAGGCTTCAAAAACAACAAAGGAACCGACGAGAGTTACCCTTCTGCCTATTTCCTATTCTGTGGTTTAATGCTCTTTCTATATATACTGTTTTACTAATGTTCAAAATTCGGGGCCCGAACAAAAAATCCCTATGAGGCCCTGCTGCCTCAGTTACGCCATTGCCCATTGGTCAGGCGTTGACAGCACAGTGTCTATTTTGTACTAATTAACTGTGAAACTATTGGGATGACGTCAGAGGTGGTGACAGCTGGTATGAAAACAAGGAATTGCAGTTGGAGATCACGTAATTCTAGAAGCGAAAAATGCGCGTTTTGCTGTAGCGAAACCCCTGCCCACGGAAAAAGGAAACCAAATCAGGCTATTTGCGTAATCTGTCGTGTAATTTTAAACTCTCAAAAATGTTTTCACATGAAATCTCAGCGTGCTCAACCAGTTGGATTCAACGGAAGTCATAGTTTTCTTTCTCTGTGGTCTAACAGGGGTGCAGTGCTATAACTATGGGGGGGGGGGGCTTTCGTAAATTTTATTTTCTTCCAAACACAAAGTAGTAGAAGAGTGCTATTTTCGGCATTAATAAGGGGACCCTGTCCCCTGAGCCCCTTGTTCCACATCCAATCACACTGAGGAGGTGAATCATTATGTTCTCATTGCTCAGGTACTACGCTCTGAAAGACAACCTCAAAATGCAAAAAAGAAACTTGAAACTAGTCCAACCGGTTTTTGGCTTCCCTCCGCAAAAAGTTCTGATCGATACAACGCGCATTCAAATGATACTAGTACATCGGTTCTAAACCAATAGTCGCCATTAATTTTATAATGTAATGCACAACGTTGTGGTAGATGAACAATAAACACAATACCAATCACCTCTAGGGAGATGATGATTGTTTTGGCACTGTATGTAGGTAATTGCTTTGCAACTTCCTAACCCCCTGTTCTGTCACCCATATGGCCCTTGACAAAATCCACAGAAAAGAGATGCACAGTTCACAGTGACTAAATCCACACAGTAATCTCTATTTTGTGCAAAATCCCTACTGGATCTATCTGAAAACAAAAAGAGTGGTTTTATTTTCGAGGAGGTGCAGGGGGGGCTGTTTGGTGTCGAATTAAGCGAGTGTGACAACAAAAAGTAAATATTTAATCTTATTATAGTTGCTGAAATTGAAAAAGAATACTTTTCAAAAATACTGAGGAGGACCCCCCCCCCCCTTCCCCCATTTGTTGACTTCGCCTAAAAAATATGTATGCTTCTTTACGTATACATTTGCACTGGTTTTGGTATATTTTCAAGAAACATCATCTCTCCACGTGTTTGTTACAGTCACACTTGGCAAAATGATCTTTCTCCGTGGAATGACATGTTGAAAGTAAAGCAGAAATAAAAGAATTACCTCATGTGCGCTAGTGATATCGAGACGGTAAAATATTGGGGCGTAGATGACGGCAGCAACAGTGCATAAGATGAAGTAGGACAAAAGGAGAACACAGTATTGTACACCGTATGTGTAAATCTCGGAAGGGACACCAAGCAAAGTTATGGCTGACAAATAAGATGCAAGTAGTGACACGAAAATCGGGAAACATCCCATTCCTTTGCCAGCCATAAGATACTCTTTTGTGGTAGATTGTTTTCCACCGTATGCATGGTAGACGCCAATAGCGCTTGAAATCAACAACATGCACGCAAAGACGATGTAGTCAGCAACACTGAATTCGTTGACCGTCATCTTGTCTCGCATAAATAAAACAAAAGTACTCGTTCTTGTCTTTCTTCTTGCCCTGCTCTCAACCTTTCTTGTCAATCCTGGCTTCAGATTGAGGTTTTCAAGCTTCACCCTTCACAATAGTCCGCGAGTAACCAGGTGAGCAAATGTTTACCCTCCTTTCTCTCCTCTCCTCGATCTTCGTAGTGTTGTGGTCTGATTTCTCTGTGTTTTTATTGTTCCACTTCATCAACTCTTGTGCAGGAACAAAGAGAATGAACAGCATGGTGTCTTTTATTCTCATTTTCAATCACACAGAATGATTGTCCGGTTTGTTTAGGGACACGGGCCCGGATTAGCAACACTGCATCCTGGACGCCTGCTAGTATTGTCCGCAAAGTGTAATGGACATGACGATATTACCAGTTTGACGCAATTCGCAACAAGGATTTGGAAGGTCTCTCAAAAAAAACTCAAAATCTTTATCAGCAAAAACAAATGTTAATTACAATATACCAAGAATTAAAAATTAGAATATAAAAGTTAGCATTTTCAAAAATTTAATTAATTAATTACATCAGATAAAGTGGTTTTGTTATGCTGAAGGACACATGAGAAAAACTCGCGAGGAGCTATCGCGTCGTGAGTTTTTTTTGAGTAAATATGATCGGCGATTTTTTGTTGGGTTTCTTTTGAGGAATTAAACAGCCCTGCCAAATATAATGATGATGTGATGAAAATTGAAAACAAGACGCTTATTTTGTAAAAAGAAGCCGTTTTCCATGTTTCGCAAACCTTTATGGCGTCACAAGCACAAAACCTGGATTAATGAGCTATCACAAGATCGTGACTGCTAAACTTTCCTTGATTGAGTCTATTTCGTGCTCGAGACAGCAGCCCTCGCAGCAGCCCTCGCAGCAGCCCTCGCAGCAGCCCATGTTTGTTTGTCTTTTGGATCTCCGCCTGTCCTACCCAGAGGTCCACAAAAACAAAACAAATCATAAAAATAATGATAAAAGCACTTATATTGCCCCATATATCCACAGGGCTCATAGGCGCATTACAATTGAAGATTAAGTCTAATTTCACATGTATGTTATGTTTTAAAAGGGGTAAAGTTTACAAAGTTTTTATTAAAATCTAAGCTAAAACAATTTATTCAATAAAATACTTTCTAGATAAATGTGTCTTCAAATAGGTTTTAAATTTTCTAAAGTGTTGCATGCTCTAACTGAGTGTCTCACCCACTGGTGTCTCATGGGCCAAGCAGATCAGAACCCCTTGATCAAAACATATAATAGCAAAATGTCACGCCCAATTTGGTTGGATATTACGGTATCATTGAACACCCTAGCATACATTAAACATAGAGATGAAAGTAAATGACCAGTTTTGCTTGGAAACATTCAAAATCCGGGCATTTAGGACCTCAACACAGTCCGCACTCTTTATCTGAAGTCTGGAGGCAAAATAGACAAAACGTTCATCTTCAAATACTATACATTATCTGCAACTTTTAATCGCATTGAAAATACACAAAAGCAATCCGTAACTCATGTTAAAAAGGAAATTATCAGTACGAACACCCAAGAGTCAAAATGCCTAAGATCAGATTAACCTATAAGAAGTTGTGCACTAGCCTTGGAAAAGCGAATCTGCTTCCACAAGAAAATTGCAAGTTCAGGTGAAGGGAATTGGCTTCTCAATTTTATAAATTAAAACGGTTTTTGAGACACGTTGCCTCCTGTGACATTCAATTTTGAAGCTGCAAAATCTGTGTTACAAAAACGGTTGAAAATGTAAATGATGAGGAGGTAGCATGGCAGAAGTAATGTCTTTTTCAAAATGGGTGGGTGTTTATTTATGGATGGGAAAAGGCATTTAACAAAAATTTAGCAGAAACATGAACAAGTTATATAGAAGCATGAGCTAAGCCGAGTGAACCATAGTGGCAGTTGTACAACTAACTCATGGTCTTAACAGTGTGATGTTACAGCTAAATACGAAGTTGTCTTAATTTCACCTTGGGCAAACATAGTTGAGGTTGAACTCAATAGGGATTATGGTTAGAGCCAGCACCATAATATATCATTGTTAATAAGTTAGTTGGACAGTCTATCTGTTCACCTTTATGTTTATCTAGATAATATATCACATTTTTCATTAAGGAATGTGCTTATGGTCCTATCTCGAAATTTCCTGAAATCAAGATTCCCTAACTTGTTACGCTATCTGCTGACTCCCATGGTTCCAACTGGCATCAGAACGTCTCAAATGTACTTATGAATTCGATTTTACTTAGAAAAAAGCTCCAGTTAAGAATACAAAAAAAACTACAACGACATATATACAGCGATAAAGGCCAGGTCTAGACATTGCATTCAACCCCTGATGAACTCACTTTAATAATATCTTTACAGAAAGAAACAAATCAAATTCTATCACTTCAGAAATTGGTAAAATATCTTACGTAATGTGTATCACATACCTATCTTACTGTGACTGAATGAAATGCGAAGTCAGATATGTCCTTGCCCGAATATTATTCATAAACATTTAGTTAAAAACATCATCTCGGGGCCATGTAATCTAAGCATGGGGTTTAGGTTCTTTATAACTCTGTTAGAAGTTAAAATGTTACGGCACTTTGCGCCATATCGTTGGTTTTTTGCCGAAAAAAATCGCAAGTCCGGTTTCCCACATTACAATGGGGGCATTGGTAGGTCCGGGTTCAGATACCGGAATCTTTTTTCTCCAGGAAAAGTTAATGAGTGGCTGAAAGACTGGGAAGATGACGAACGCGTCTTTGACTTGCTTTTATCTCTCTTTTCACTCCCAGCCATCAACCTTTGGCCTTTGCTTTTACAGACAAACTTCTTCATCAACGATCTAATTTTCTCTGGAATAATAGGGCTGTTAGACATCGTAACCTAAAAGGAATAAAAGCATGTATGAAACTGCACGATTAACCAGCTAAATAAAATCACATGTCATAGGAATGTTCTTTTTCGTGCAGGCCCGTAGACAGCCAAACTGGATTGGGGGTACGGATAGAACTATAGCTTTTTCTATACCTGCCTTACGAAATACTGTCAGATCAAGCTGCGCTTATAAGAACTTCAAGCACAACTTTTGCAAATTATTGGGGGGGGGCATTACCTGAAGTGTCTACAGGCCTGTCATGTAATGAAGCAATAACTTTGTGCTTTTGCATTCAAAAGATTGTCGATACCTACAATTAATGCGATAAGTCCTATTCATAGTTTAACTTTTTTAAAAATACTTTCTTCTTAATTTTATCTGTATCTTCCAACATTTTATAGACTTGTCGTAGTTCTTTCGCATTGCATCGCTTCAAGTCCTTAAAGACGGAAGACTGTGGTAAAGCTACTTGTTAAAAATAGCTCAGTTTTTGAAACGTTTTGGAACAACTGCTCACATGAAATGATCCGTTCCTGCATCTCCAAAAGGAATCCAAAAGTTGCAAAAGCATTCATTTAAAAATTCTAATCATCAATCCTCATTGTTTGTCTATATTTTAGCCCGCCCGAGCCCCTGGGCTAAGTCATGTATATATCCGATATGTGTCTTTAAGAACAGAAACATTTTATACGACACTTCAAATACAAAGGAAAAATATCAATCTTTGTGTTGTGATGTGTTGTAATAAAACGGAAAAATTGAAAACCAGTTGACGAAATTAACAATCGATTCACCTCAAAAATTATTTTGAAATTGAAATATAAACATCTATCTAATCCATCTAAAAACCTCTTCAAGGTCTCGTGGAAATCATTACCCTTAAAAATTTATTTTGTATGAGAAGAAATTGTTTATTGGCTATAGTAATTTATTTTAACCTCTGTGTCAAAGGCCCCGGGGTAGTCATAGTCTTTTGCTCCTCGGGGTATCGTCCAAGTAGTATTGTAAAGTAAATTTGTAAGTAGCGTAGCTTGTATTTAGGTATTGTATCATTTTAAATGGATATAAAGAAAAAAAGTTGTTGGGCAGAACATTATAAGGATATTTTCTAGCATTGAAACACTTTGGCAGATGGGTGCACAAGGGAATTTAATGGAATAATAATAATAATAATATGAATATTTCAACTGGATAAATGCTTCAACAAAAATATTGCTGATTTCAATGCCTGTCCTGCTTAAAAGAAAAGAAATGTTCTATCTACTAAAGAATTAAGGAAGGGTTACCTGAGGGACAGCTTTCCGTAAAATTGATTTGTATTCCTCTTTGGTTATTTCTTTTGATTTGTAATACAGCTTCAAAACTTCTTTACATTCTTGCTCCACTCTTGATTGTCTAACCAACATGTCAACCATCTTTTGCTGGAGAAATAAGAGCATTGTTATAAATATTTCTCAAAAAGAAAGCTAACAAAAATTGTTCAAATGGATATAATATAAACAGATTCACTGAGAAGGGTGGGAAAAGAGGGATTCCCTTAGGCCCATTGCCATCAAGGACCCTGTTTAAATGTGAAAACTACTCAGTTTGAATCTGTAATGGTTTAATTTGTATACACCAGCATGAAGCACAATACAAAACATTTTATGTGACATCTGTTGTTATCAGCTATCTTTAAACAACAACTTTACTTGTTCACAAATAGTACACTAGCAAATCATGGTGCAGCAAATAATGATGTATTTTAATCATCATTTGAAAGGAACAGGGTCAACAATACTTTGGCCCACTCAAGTGTGCCAAGCAGTGGTGTAGTGCTATCTAAAGAACAAGGAGGGCTCTTGCACAAAATGTTGCAAAAAACAATAGCAAAAGTCAAACTTTGCTAATTTTTGGTATTAACAAGGGGGGCTCAGCCCTTTCTGGCAGGGCTTTGCTCTTCACCAATATTTTTATAAAATTAGCGATATGTAGTTTTTTGTGAAATGATATATAAAACTGCTGATTTTCTAAATGTTAACTTGATCATGGTTGAAAAGCTGAAAATCATTAAAATGATCTAACCTGTTTTGATGATTGGGGCTTTGCAAACCCTTTAATTTTGTGTTTATCATGGCCTTTTCTACTCTGTCTTTTTACCTCATGCCTTGATTTAGCTTCAATAATCTTTTGCCAAGTTGGGTTTTCATATCCAGAAAAGGGTTCTTTCAGTCTCAATTCAACAGCACCTTTAAGTGCATCTTGCTGGAGGTTCTTTGCATCAACAGGTGATAAACCAATATCCATAAGTGTCAGATCTTCTGGATTGTATGGGGAGTCATCAGCCTCAAGATGGTAATATCTATCTGTTTGATTTATTTCTGCTTCATTCCCTATTCCACTAAACTCTTCTGGAGGTGTGTAAGGCTGTTTTCTTTTTACTGCTTTTTCTTTGGGTGGCGAGAACTCTGGTGTTTTTGGTATTCCTAGTTTCTGAGCTGGTGCTTCATCATCAAACAAAAGTGGGATTTTAGATGGTGATTTTTTAACTTCTTCTTTCTCAGACACTTTTTCTTTGATGCTGCTTAGTTCTAAACCAGGGATAGATATTGGTTCTAGTCCAGGGATAACCATCTCTCTCGGGCTCCTTAATTTCTTATCCTTAGGACTTTCTCCATTTTTTCCATCCAATTTGCCATCTTCCAATTTAAGCTTTGGAGTTTTTCTTGCAGGCTTTTCTTCTCCCTTTTCATTGTTAGGAACTACTTCCTTTTTCTCTTGCAAAGGTATCTGTTTTTTGAATGACAATCTTTTTGGACTAGTCTCCTCATCCTTGCCCAACATTTTAGCAAGTCCATCATTTTCCCTGTTTTCAGAGTCGTCTTCTTGAGCAAATATGTCATCAAAGAGATCATCTTTTGATTTTCTGTTTCAAGAAAGAGCAAAAATGTTTACCTTCCAGTTACCTCAGTGATGCAAGCAAATAGGCATGCTTTAGCAAAATCAACAAGCAAAGTCATTTTTGTTTGAGTATGCTGACCACACATTAAAATAGTAAGTGAAATCTTTTACTATTCCCACAAGATTTGTTTAGTCATTTTAAACCAATGGAACAAAAGACTATTTCTGTAAGAATACTGGAAGAGGCACTTATTCTTGCCAAAAAAATCAAGCATGTTTAGAACTTCAAAAAACTTCAATTCAAAAGCAAACAAGAGCTGACTTTGTTTTCAGCAAAAAAGAAGCTTTTAGACTTAAAAGAAATGTAAGGAAAATAAATTTACTCAAAAGAATATTAGCTTAAGTGTTATAAGTAAAATGTGATATATTTCCTGCTTTCTTGACATTTTAAAATATAATTTAGTGGTTACCTCTAATTTAAACTAGGCCAGAAAAAAATTTACAGCAGACAAATTTTGTAGGAAAATACAGTTTTTTTTAAAAAAAACTCACTGTAAATTCTTTGTTGCTTTCCCATCATCTCCAACTTCCTCTTGATCTTTCTCTACTTGCCTCTCATCAACTTTCTCTTTTTCTGATTTTGGTGGCTCTTCTGATTCAACTTTTTCAAACTCTGCTTCATTTTCATTTTCACACTCCATTTTCTTTGTTACTTCTTCCTTGACATCTTCATCAATCATCTTTTCATGATCTATAGCACCACTTTTAACCAGAAGTTCTTGCTTCAATTTTTTTGTTTCCTCTTTTGAAAATAGCTTGAAAGGTCTTTTCTCTTGGTTCAGTTTAACAGCCTCCTGTTTGCTAACAACTGATTCTGAAACCTCTTGTTCACTTTTGTCATCATTAACAGTTTTACTGGTCCTTTCAATAACATCTTTTTCAGAAACATTGTTGATTGCATCTTTTTCATTTACTTTCACCTCAACAGCATCTGCACTGTTTTCTTTAGACATTTCATTTTGCTCCTTGGCCTGTTCACTATCCAGACCTTCTTTGCTAACATTTTGATCAACAAAATCTTGGGGTTTTGCAACACTGTCTTTGTCATTTCCAATGCTACTCTTTTGATTTTCAAAACCCTTGTCAAATGCAGAATCTTCTGGTGCACTGTCTTCTTTTTCCACTTCTCTCTCTATATCACTCAGCCTTTCAAATTCACTGTCAGTATCAGAACCATCTAGTTCATCCTTTACTTCTTCTTCTTTTTGAAGTTTGAGGTTTTCACTCTTCTTAGAAATATCTACTTCCTTTTTAATCTTTGCTTTCTCAATAACCTTTTTACGACCATCTTCAATATCTAAGTTGAATTTTTCTTTTGATCCTTTAGAATCAAAGGTTTGAGGGCCTGTTCCTTTATGCCTTGTGTGTTCCTTTTTGTTATCCTGCCCTTCTCTTTTATTGTTGTCTTTCTTCTCACTTTTCTCACTATGGTGCTTTTCTCTTTTATGATCACTATGTCTTCTTTCCCTTTTATTGGGTTCTGATTTGCTTTTCATTTTCAAGTCAACTTCCTTCTGCTTTGACTTCTCTGAATGGCTTCTGTCTGAATGATGCCTTTTATGGGGGTTGTGGCTAGATGATGAAGATTTTCTCTGTGTGTCATCTTTTTCTTTGCTTCTTGGCTCACTTTCTTCAAGCTTTTTGCTATTATCTTTCTTCTTGTGTTTCCTCTCTTTTCTCTCAGGATCATCCTCATCTGAATGATGCTTGTGCTTCTTTTTATGTTTTAAATGCTCATCCTTCCTTTCTTCATCCTTCTTTACACTACTCCTTTCCTTTGATTTTTCTCTGTGTCTATTTTTTCGCTTCTTTTTATTTTCAGGCTCTGCATCTGGACTTTGAGATCTTTTGTGACTACTTTTGCTTCTCTTGCGTTTGCGTTTCTTTGCCTTTTCTTTACTTCTATGTTTTTCGTCATTTTCTCTACTTTCATTTTTCTCATGCCTATTGTTTGAACTTTCCTTTATATTTTTACCATCTTTACTTTTTGATCTAGAACTACGTGGTGTTTTTTCCTTGTTTTCTAATCCTCCATCTACAGTTTTACTCAAGGGAAAATCAGCCAAATCCTCTTCCAACTCTTTGACAACTATCATGTCAATGTCATCATCATCATCTGATCCTGCTCTAAAGCTATTCTCACTTTCATTTAAACTGCTAGAAGATCTCCTTGACTTCTTTTTATCCTTAGTAACTTTTGTCTGCTTAGTAACTTCAAAAGACTTTTCTACTCTTTTGTTCCCACCTTTGTGAGATTTCTTAGAATCTAATTTCTCACTATTGTCTTTTTTATCATTTGATAAATCTTTGTCACTTGAAAGCTCCCTTGCACTCTTCTCTTTTCTATAGGTGGCAGTCTCTTTCTTTTTATCTTTCTTTTTCTTTTTCTTGTACTTCTTATCATCAACCCCATGTTTTTTCTCTTCATTCTTTGAAATTTCATCAGCATTTTTATCCTTATTTATGTCTGTTGTAGCATCACCATCATCATCAGAAAGAAACCCACTCTCCCTTAGGCAGTAAGTGAGTAGTTCTTCATTATCGTCCTCAAAAGCAGGGACAAATTTTGTATCAGTTTTTTCTTTGGGCTTGCTAGAGGCTTTTAGCTGCATATCCAGCCCAAAGTCGATCCTTGAAACATGTTTCTGTTGCGATTTCTTCCCAAGTATTTCATCTTCAATACTTTCCTCATCCGAATCTATCAGTAACGGGCATGCAGGGTCATACGGCACATCCATTATTTATGTTGCCCTGGGCTTTTATTTTAGGCCGTGGCAAGATTTCTCACTCCGGTTTTTTCTTTTCACGCACAAATCAAACTCATCGAAACAGCTGTAAACGTTGTCTTTTGGAGAACTTCTCACATTCGTGACAAGATAATCAAATTTCTGCTGATCGTCAAAAATGCAGGTTTTGTTTGTGATGTGCAGTTCATTTGTCTGCTCCGGATAGCTTTAGACCGTGGCAACAACAACCACATTTGACGCCTTGTGCTAGCGCCTCGTTTGTCAACAAGAGCCTCTTTACCAGGTATACCTAGCAACCGCTCAATTGATACTGGCAACCAACACAAAAAAGAGATGTACCTGTCAGTTTTCTTGTAAACTGTTAAATCATAGATTAAAAAACTGCAGGACTGTATTAAATCATAGATTCAAATGATTAAAACTGTTAAATCATAGATGTTAAATCATAGATTCAAAAACTGCATTAAAACAGAGGTAAAATATAAATTTATCACAATTAATTTGATCCTACAAGGTTCCTCTAAAAATGTTCTTATCCGGTCCGGTGGGACGACTGCACTTTAGCGACCCACTTTTTTGTTCCCTGGTCGGAAATTGAATTGAATTACAAACCTTTCGATCTAGCAAGGTTTCTAAAACAATCGAAAGCTCGAATCTCAGATGTTCAGCCAGTTAAGGATTCACTCTCGCACATTTGCAACTATACATCAGTTTCAAAATCAGTTTGGATGACTTCGCTCTTTGATTTTTTTAGCTGCCTTGGGGGCTACCGCCTCCAAACCCCCGTTAATTCATCGTTATTTTCTACCTTTCTATGATAGAAAGGTAACAAAATTTCAAGGAGAAATGGAAAAAATCAATGTTTAAGTTTCAATGCAAAAAACACAAAAACGACCAGAAAGAGAATGAGAAGCAATAAAAAAAGCTGAAACTGGGTCTAGCGAGTCATTTGTTTGCTGAATCTTCAAGAAAGTTTAGTTGCAGCAAGTCTACAACGCATGTAATTTACAAGGACAAAAAGTTAACAAGGCCTACTAAAATTCAAAGAATAGTAGGCCAGGGCAGGCTGACTATTGATTGGGCCTAATGGCAGCAGCAAGCTAGTGTTGTGTGTGTAGTCAATCAAGCTGAATATTTGTTCCAATTATTTGTGGAAAGCCAACAGGCAAATACAGAAATAAGAAATGATTCTTTGCAAAAACCATTTATTTTCAAGCAAGACAATAAACCTAGCTATGTTGCAATTATGACAACAGTTTTCGAAAATAATTACATCATGGTCTTTCAATAACCCCGTCAAAGTCAAAGCCTTGATGTAATTGAAAACAACATGTTTTCATTAAAAAATCCAAGAAATTAAATCTTCTAAGACCAAAAATAAGCTCTCTAAAATCTCTTGAGATTTCTTCCTGTATCCGAAGATATTTCGTTAGAAAATTATTTCAGTGAGTTCCAGTTCAAATGGTGGCTGCCTAGATTCTTGGAGGCCATACGACAAAACATGAATAAAGCAATTGTCTAAAAAGTTAATTCTTTAATACTTTATTGAATATATGTTTATTTTTACGATTGGGTAAAATTGCAATTGAAAATCTCAACCAGCAATCTTGTTGTGTTCCACCGATTTTCTATGTTGTTCTGTGAGCAAAGGGTTAATCACATTTGCTTTGAGGCGATCGTCCTAATACTTTTGTCACGTAAGTGTACAGCTAGCTCTATTGACACAAAACCATTCTAGGCAGGACATTGCTTGAATTACTTCCTATTTTGCCTGCTCCGCGAAATGCTATTGGACAGTGTGGATGCAATCCTAGCCAAATCCGTGGTATTCCCCCTTCTATTCCGTAGCGACAATCCTACAAAGCGAGGCAGCCTTTTCATTACCCCGGGTTACAACAAAAGTTTGTTATAATGTATCCGTTCCAGGTTGAAATAAATTAGCATTTAAATGGCTTTGAAAAAAGCAAACATTTAAATGTTTTCATTTAAATGTTTGCTACTGAATGTTTGCTTTTTTCAAAGCCATTTACAAGTTTTGTACCACCAAAAGATTGTTTGCAAATTTGCATTTGTGGCAATAGTCCTTGAATTTACTTCTAAAACGCTATTGTTGCTGTTGTTGATAATGATGTTGTTGTTTTTGTTGTAATTGTTGTTGTTGTTAGTTGGGTCAATAGTTGTCTGGGTTTGCTGTTTCCACTAACTCATAGGCGAGTTAAAAGATAGCCGAGTTAAAACTGATCCACTCTGAGATAACTATACCTTTTAGGTGAATGACTGCCTGCCTGCCATATGTCTTGGTACACTAACGTCACGTTTCAAGGGCAAATTTAGCCATTCCCCTTCCCAGCTTTGAGCAATGTTGGTTTACTACAAAACAACAAAGTGGTTTAGGAAGTACTTTTTCTGCGACTTCTATGATATTTTCTAAATTATCAGCATCATTTAGGGGTAGGGGTGCGGAAATTGAGGTATTTGGAAAAGAATTGGATAATCTAAAAACATAGCGCAAATTTATTGGGTTTCCAAGAACTTTTAGCAATGATTGAATATATCTTTCAGGTAGATAGCATTTAACAGGTTTTTGTTTTACCTCGGAAGGGTGTAGAGGCTGTGCGAGTATACAATATTACAGTGACTTTTGTTCAAAATTTTCGATAACCAATTTCTTTCTTGATACACAGCTTTTCTTTGAGGAATCACACAGCTTTCTTCGCTTGCAAGATCTGTTGTGCACAATTTTCCTCATTGTTATTTACAATTCATTGCTCGCATGACGTGAATTTGATCTGCTTGTGTTTCACGTCCTTTTGCTAATAAAGTTACAGAGATTCAGAAAAGAGTTTAAGAACTTTTAAAAACAATATTTATATTGCTCATTTTGTTACTATGATTGGTATACACAAAGTTTGAAGTCTATAACAAAAATAATTGTTAATACAAATATGATAATGGATGCTCTGGTATGATACAAAGATAAAACTAAACAAATTGCAATCCTAGAAACTCTCTCTAAGGATTTACTCCTGGTGACGTCATCTATGGTATCAGGTTTGCTTTATCGAGATTGTGAGTGCCAAAGTATGTTTTATGACGAGTTTATGCACTATATTTACCTAAATTTCAATGCACTGCAGAGAAACAAGTTTACGGTTCCTACAAGATTTTTCATAAAGTTATTTGTGTGTCAAAGACATACGCTGAAATTTTACAGCAAGAAAATTGTTTGTTGCTGCCAAAATATATGTTGATAAGAGAACTGAGGAAAGAAGAAATTTAAACAATGAAAGCCTATGCATATCCCCCTAGCAGATAAGTCTGTTTCCGAAGCTAGCCAGCAACCTTTGCACAATGCCCTTATGAAAAGAAACCTCCAAATTTCTGTAATCGCAGCTTGTCGTTAAATATAAAAACTACAAGGTCCCATTCTCGATTTGCAGAAAATCACGTCAAATTTTGTAGCTCAAGCGACATCAGTTGTTAAAGCGTCTTTCTTCTGGCATTAATTGAATGTCCTGTTAATCTTTTCATTTTTTCTCTTTGATGTCAACAGCACTGCCTACATCTGCATATGGGTCCTTCCTTCTGTGTTGCGCCACTTTTTCTTGTGTTTTTGTCGAAAATGTTTTGCTTTCTTTTGATTCAGCCATGCCTGTTACCGAATTACCGGAGATCCCTTGCGCAGGAGTATCGCTAGAGCCTGTTTGTAAATTGCTTTTTGGCTCGCTCGTAGACACGTCAAATTCTTCTTCCTCTGTGCTTGAGTCGAAATCTTTCTTTGATCCAGGTAAACTCTGTGTTGTCTTCTTGGTTAGCGACCCTACGTCTGCATATGGATCTCTAACAGCTGTCGTTGAATTGCCTTTATTAATCTTTCCTAGCTGACCGTCTTCCGTTTGTTGGCCCTTAGAAATCTCTCTCGCCTTCTCTAGTAACTTATTAAGCTTTTCAGTAAGTTCAGCGACATCTGCTTTTGATTTCAGTGGCTCTGTTGTTGTCTTTTTACTTGAGCTGCCTTTATCGTTGTCAAGAAGTGACGAAGACCCCAAATCTGCATAAGGATCCTGGTGCTTCATCAACATTCTTCGTTCTGTAACAGGGGTACCCATTAACATTGCATTAGTCCCTTTCCCCTCTTTCTTTCCATTAGAGTTGCTTTTCTTCTCTGGAAAATCCACTGAAACACCCATCTCTGAGTAGGGATTTCGTTTACCTTCAGAAACCCCCTGTCGCTGATCGGAGGACACCACAGTGCCATTGCTATGTTGTAGTAAGATAGATCTCGAGGATACCTGCGACGACTTGGTGTCGTGAGCTCTCTTGTCAGCTGTAAGGACAGGTGTCCCCATATCAAGGTACGGGTCTTTCTTGCCCCCAACAGCTGAAGTGCCACCTTTCGGCTGTGAGATTTTCTTAGTTGGGTTCGTCAACGGAAGGCCATTTACTGTGGCCTTCTTTGATGGTCTGTAGCCTGGATCTTCTGTTTCAGCCACAGGTATTCCTGAAATAAACGAAGAGACATTTTCATGCTTTGTATTTCTATTTTACGCCTGAAAACAAAACAAGGCACTTGCAAGCTATTCGTTTCAAGAAGTACTTTGGTCTTTCTTTCGCAATGTGCGAGGCCAGGATGGCTCATTGGTTAGGGTTGCAGACTACAGACCTAAGGGTCTGGAGTTTTGGTCTCTGTAATGAACGAATTTCACTTGGATTGAGGGGAATCGATCGTTGGTTCTCTGTAATTTCAGGCGTAGGAATCACTGGGTGTGGTCACATCGATAGGAAGCAACAAGACATATCTCTATAAGCATAGCTGTCAGTAAGAACTCCAATACACATAAAAATACAATACCATACTTTTTAGTATGATCACGCACAATGACCCCTAAATGCTTTTAATTAGAGCCTGTAACTCCCTTCACCCTAGAGGTAGGTACAATCAAGCTATAAAACATTATTATATGACATTTGTGTTTCACAACAGTTTCACAAAATGTTCCGTAAAACATTTCCATTAATTTTCAATGTAAGAAGAATAATGTAAAAAACAGTTTAACGGTCGATCAACCCATTAAGTATAAGGTTTTATCTCTAGTTAAAACCTCTCTAACAGAATATTCTCTAGTGATCCCCTGTCAGAATTTTCTCTATAGAAGGCAGACAATAATTGGTAGACGTAGATGTAGATCTGGATGAAACAGGATCTGATGGAGTGCACCCCAGCTTTTCGTCCAGACATGCACACTGTGCTATGTATTGTAGGACTTACAGGAACAAGTATAAAGAAATTGTAACGCGTGTCCCCTAAAATGGAGGGAGGGAAATTGCTCCATCAATGATGATCATTGGACGCCTTTTGTTTGTCTATATAGTCGAAGACGAATTTGAGAAAAGTCGACGATTTAAAGCCCTTAGGCATTTGAACAGTCAGTAATAAATGGTTGGGTAGGGGTGGTTTTACTAAAAATATGTAAATAGATATGGCTTGAAAGGAGAGACTATCCGTTCTAAGGGCCAACATCCCTGTAAACGTTTTAATCAGCTCCGTAAATTGGATTATCACTTACCCATTGAAGCGTATGGATCGCTGCTACCCTTGCTTCTTTCTGTACCAGCAACATTTCCTGTTGCAGCTGTTTCACTTACAAGTTCGCGTTGGCTTTCTGATTCCATATGTGTGTTTGTAGCAAATTCCTTCTCAGCATCTTTTGACTCACTCTCAGGTGCTTTTGGACTATGAAGTGCTTCATCTGCTAGGCCTAAACAAGGTAAAATTTGTTATTGTAAGCAGTCAAGTCTAATTGAATACTTTTATATCGAAATGAATCGAAAATTTCCCTCTTTTACAGAAACTAGAGACTCGAGCATTTGTGGAACTCGTTGTAGAAACCCTCACTCATCGTGACACATTTTGGGTATTATAAACCTTTTTTTATTGATAAATGTTTAAAGCGAGAGAGAGAGAGATGTTACCAATTCTCCTTCTTGTTCAGTTGCAAAGTAGCGCAGTTTGGCAAAACGTTTTCTCCAATAAAGTGGAGTATATTGTGGGATTGAATTTAACTATTGAAGTTCAGGGCATCGAAACAGAGGGCTAATGGGAATGAACACTTCCTCCCTTTTCAAAAGGGGGCATTTTTTTCATTTTGCTATTTTTTCTTGTATAATTGAATCCTGGCCGCATAATTGGCCTCATAATATCGGTAGTGATTAAGCCAATATACAGAACATACCAATTTCTGTGTAAGGGTCCTTGGGTCCGTTGACTTCTGCTTTGACGTCACTTTGGCCTTGGACGTTCTCAGCGATAGTGGAAGGAGTGTCGTCTGGAGTATTCAGGCCTGCTGACATTGTGTTCTCCTTAATCACTGGGAACGGCCTATTTTTCGCTGATTTCTTCCCTACTTTCACTTTCTTATGGTGGTTTTTTCGTTGTACCTTTTGGCTTATATGGTGTCTTGCTCTCGCTTTTTTGTGCAATCTACCCTTCTGCATCCATTTATGAAATCCCCTCTTCTTTCCGCGTCGATTTCCGATCATTGCCCGCTTTGCATGCGGAACCTTATTCCGTTTGATATCAGCATATGCATCTTTGTTGATGTCATGGCTCTCATCCTCTGAATCCTGATATATCGATTTTGGAACGGAAACGCTAACGCCCGGGCTTGTTCGGGCCACTATCTCTGGAGTTGCATCTTCTTCTGACGACGGTCGTAGATCAATCTGGATAGGACGTCGTAGCTTTGCCAATGGCCCCCTAGGATTAAGTGTGATCCTCACTGGAACCTTTGGTAGCTTGCCTGCTAGTTGAACTATCGCCTCTGGATTTTCAACCCCGGAGGCTTGCGTTAATGCCTTAAAAAGGGTGTCTCTTAACAAGGCATTCTCTTCTTCGTCATATTCTGGTGTGGGCCTTTTACTTTTCACAAACCTAGATTTCCTTGAAGATCGTTTTATTCCTTTATGAACATGATTTGAAGCTGGCTCTTCTCCCTTGTAGAACTTCTCGTATGGTTTCATTGCCAATGCATCTAAGCTACCGAAGTACTCGTGTGCTGTCTTGATCATCTGCTTTTGATGCCTGCAGGTCTCATCGACGCAATCATCATACGACGGGTCGTCATTCGAAGAACTCTCATCCACCTGGTAATACGACTTCTCATCGTCAAAATCTCTCTTTTTCAGCTCTTCGATGAGCTTTCTCAGCTCAGGGACAGCTGTTTTCGACCGCTTGTCGATCTGTGACGTTACGTCATCAGTGGTTTCGTCCTCGTCCCCAACTGTAATCTTGTTCAGGTACCCTTGTATTTTTGGCAGATATTGGTTATAAGTCACCAAGCTCCTAGTTATTCCTGGATAGTGATGCTCTAGCTCAACCTGTTGCTTCTGTAATCCATTAATTTTACCCCTGATACTCGTCACTGATTCAAGTTTGTTTGAGCTTCGCAATCCTAACTCACTCATTAGATCCTTAATTGCCATCTTATACAAAGACACCATCATATCCTTATCAAATAAAGACAGCAATTGCCTCTTCAATTGATCGTCGTTGCTCGCTTTTTCACTTTCTTCTGTTAAAGCTTTCTCGAAAACTTTTGCATCGGAGAAACCTTGACTAAAGCTTTCTGGCTTTGTTGCGGTGGTTTGCGGACTTTGCCCATTTGTTGTTGCAGCTGTGTGTTTTTTCTCTCCCGAATTACCATCAAATGTTGCGTTATTCGCTTGCCCACCGTTCTCTGATGTATATGACTCAATATTCTCTGGCAGTTTTAGCTCAAATTCTGTATTACCAATATTGCTAGTGAATGCAGCTTCCTCGCTTGATTCGGTGTCGCTGTTCTTCTCTCCTTTTTTGTCTTCACTTGCGTCCTGCTCAGCTTTTTTCTTTTTGTCATCTTCCTTTTCTTTCTCTTTGTCATCTACTTTTGCAGCTTCTTTTTTGTCATCATCTTTCTTTCCTTTTTCTGAACTCTTTTCTTTGTCATCTTTCTCTTCCTTTCCTTTTGTTTTATCGTCTTTTTCATCTTTCTTATCATCTTTTTTCTCATCAGACTTTTGCTTCTCTTTTCCTTCCTTATCTTCTTTCTCTTTGTTTTCTTTCTCATCTTTTTTGTCCTTCTCTGCCGCTACTTTCACAATCTTCTTGTTTTCATCTTCACTTGTGTTTTTCTCATCATCAGGCTTAAGAGCGTGCATTGTAATGGGATCGGGGTCCTTCTTTTTATCATCGGTAACAAATATGTCTTGCTCTTTCGACTTTGATTTTGAACCTTTTTCCGAAGACTTTTTATCCGTACATCTCAAGAATGCGTGCTGGCCCTTGGGTAAACTGACCGTGACACCCCTTTTGTATGCAGCCGCTGGTACTAAGAGACTTGGTATTTGGACCTTCTTCTCTATAATTCCAATTTCTTTGATAATTTCATCTCTTTTAGCCCCAGTAGCTGCACCAGCCTTTTTATCCTTCCCTAGAAGCGTGAATCTGAAATTTGGATACTCAAGCACTGTTCTTGCTGCAGCCTTCATTACATTTACAGGCCCGATAGCATCCACAGTTTTGTCTTTATTAGCATTGAACTTCATCTTGATAGCTAGCTGTCCCTTCAATTTTATAGCCACTGGGATAGTAACAGTGCAAGGAGGGGGTGGTGGTGGAGGGGGCGGAGGTGGAGGTGGGGGCTGAACAATAGGTATCGGAATATATACAGGCTCAGGTGGGGGTGGGGGATGTTCGTGAATCACATGCACGGGTTCCGGATGGTGGTGATGGTGATGTACTTCGGTTTCGTCATGATGGTACTCCGGCTCGTGATGGTACTCCTGCTCATGATGGTACTCTGGCATTGGAATATGGTAATCAGGCTCGGGATGATGGACAGGTGGCCCACTGTGTGGCAAATGTATTGCATCAAATGGATTATCTAATTTCACGTGGTACTGATGATTGTTCACTATGTTTTCCAACTGATTTATAAAAGGCTCAGTTGAATCGGTTTGCATTGAGTTCTCGTTGCCGATACCCGGCATCGTATCGATCTGCCCACCGATCCCCAACCCTGGAATCTCGACCGTGTCTCTGTTTTTATTCTGTTCATCGTGCTCTTTTGCTTGCTTGTGTTCGGTTTTGTCATTATCTGAAAAAAAGGAGATAATTAACGTTTAGCAAGAATTCGCATTGATCAGACAATATTTCTAAGAACCGATTTTTTTCTGCTCCAAAATTCAAGTTCAGGGTGCAGTACTTTGTTTTGTACCACTTCCAAGTCAGTGTAATTTATTGTCAACGGGTTAGAAGTTAAAAAACATCCACCAAATCCATCAGGGTGATGGCAGATAATACCAAAGTTCTAACTTATAAAGACAATCCTAGACTTATAAGTCATGCATCTAAACTTTGATAATCATTCTTGAATAGTCTGTGATCTCCATCAAGATACGTGCCCCTTATATGAGCAATTTGATATAACCTGGCAAATGATCTTTGCTTTCCCCTTGGAAAGCCATACAATATCTCCCAAGCATCCTTCCATTCGACTGACACATTTGAAGAATTTAACTATATCCTTACCTGCGTTACACTCAGTTGATAAAAAAACCAGCACCGCCAGCAGATACAAGGAGAGCAGATGCTTAATCTAAAATGCAACAAAACATAAAATCTTTATACTCTGTGATTAAAATCTACCAAATAAGAGGAATGTTTATAGAGGAAGTTTGGAACGATCGTTCGACAATTTTTAGACAGTCATATGATCTTGTAGGAAGTGAGAGGCAGTTGGGTTACGAGTGCTAGTGCCAAAGTAACAAGCTCGGATTATCTTTGCAACTTATGTTCAAGTTTGAATTGAAGAAGGAATTTGAGTAAAATATTTCGAGCATTTACTCTCGTGTACTTCTGAAGTTGGGCTTCGTTAAAGATCTTTCTAAAGAAAGGCTTTTAATTTCAGTTGCTTGAACCTTGCCAAAGAGTGCCCGATCCGTAATTTTAACATGAAATTGATGCTTTGAGCTATAGTATGTCACAGCTGAAGTCACTTTATCTTCACACAGTCAGTTAAATTGCCACTTTATAATAGGTCGTTGGAAACTTTGTACAAGTAAAAACTTGCGCAGTTTTTGATTCCTATTCTACTTTTTGGAGTAGGCTGCTTAAGGTTAAGAAGGTTAAGCGGCATTCTCGGTAGACTGGAAAATGAGCTCTTCCAAAAACCCCTTGTTTACATTATTATCTTATACACCTCCGTATTTCTGCAAGGTTCTTTACTAGGCCCGTTGCTTGTTTAACCAAACTTCAAAGGCTGTGCTGTAGTGTAGAAAGCTCTGGAGATCATGGCACTATGTTGTGAATACTGTACATAGGCACAGCCCGAATTTAGTTGCAGATTTAAACATCACTGTCTCATTAAAGCATCGAAGGGAACATTTGTAGCGGTAATAGTTATTGAATGATTCCAGATCAAAACAGACCTGAAAATATCAAGCATTAATCGTTATTTGCAATCCTGTTTCACACCGTTCAAAGTTATGGAGAGAGAGCTGGGGCAATCAAGGTAATGGATGAGAGCAGTGATGCAAAAATTAGCGATTTCGGACAGGTCACGGAACTTGAAAAGAGATGCCGGCTCGGTTTCTGGAGTTTTCAACCCAACCTAGCCCTTGTCGGTGCTCGCGGAGAGGTCTTTAGCGACTGATATTATTATTAAGGATTTCAGCAAAAACAAATTTGCGTCATTTCTCATAATAGTCGAAGCGTCTGTTCCTCTATTGCATTCATAACTGAAGCTGCCTTGAATTATTCGTCTAGACAACATTTAAGGTCATAGATCGTTTGCCAATCTTTCATCTGGTGCATACTGTTCTTTCAATGGCAACGATATTGAAAGTCAGGTTTAGTTACAATTATTTTCCAAGACTAAGAATGTAGGAACTAATACAAAAGAGATCAAAGTTCAAAATCAGGAATCTCATATAATCTTATTAACTCATATCCAAAGAAAATTGCTGTAGGGAGATTAGGTAGGGAAAAATCTTAGTAAAGGCTTCCAGGTAGAGAATATATCGGAAAGGTGAAAATAATTAAGGACGATCGCCTTTGGGACACTAATTAGGTTAAGCAAACAGTAGAAGAAGTTCGTATCTATTGATATCGCCTTCTAAGTAAACGGAAAGGTATTTGTAAAATTCAAGAGAGATATGCCACACACTTACCTGTATCCGCTTTTTGAAGTCTATAAACATTTTATCTTTGTTTTTTATCGACTATGTTCATGCATCCATTCTCAATCAATCAATCACCATTTTAAATATTTTTACGATAATAACAGCCCTTTTTTTCTTTCGAACCTCTTTTCGAAACGTAGGGCTGGAAAAACAAAATATCCTTGAAAAAATGAGGAAAAGTTTTGCTACGCTTGGCCGATTTGAAGTGAATAGCTGAGCAACGCTGGTGTCAAACACTGGTTCGCCGGAGCTTTAGAATACCATGGATACCCAGTGACCCGTTACTTGCTTCAGTGCCTCTGCTAGCTGCCTTTGATATTAATGATTGTTAGCTATCTATAAACAAGTCTTGTTTAAGAAGATACAATGCAAATAAACACTGCGCTGAATTCAACTCTGTATTTTGTCATTCCTATCAGACGTTGAACCATCTAGAAAGTATTTGTAAAATAAAATAAATGCTAATATTGTTTATTGTTTACTTTATAGCAGGTGCTTACTGATTTATGATTTGAGGTTCACGTGATTCAATGATCTAATTTCAGCAACAGGTTCACTCCAAATTGCTTCAAAATGTGAGCTTCCAGGAGTTTCACTCATTTTGTTAGAGACTTTCCATTAGAATCTCTAGAAGCTGTTTTTGAAAATTTCATCCAGGAAGAACCTCTGAGTCTAAGGCACTCTTTTATTGTTACATCTGTATTTAATTGTGTTGCGAGTTTAGCTAAGATATGAGCAGATAATGTTGAAAAGCTAATCTAAAATATTTTCTTTTCTTTACGCATATTCTTTACTTCCTGATCACGAAAACTGTTCTTTATGAAACCAAGTGCTCAAGCTTCTGCCATTCTATTGCTCTAATCTCATCTTCAGAAGCGATCGTTTTCTATCAATATGGGAAAGAATTTTCAAACCTGGTAGATTGTTATATGGAGTCCCTCAGGGATGGAACCCTGACACACTTTTCTTCTTTCTGTACATGAATGAGATAACACGGACGGTTAACTGTGACCTGCTTCTATGTATGAAATAGTCCTATTTATCGAAATTGACTGAGACATTGAGAACCTAACCTAAACTTTTTGTGCAATTGATTTGATAAAAACAAACTAAGCATTCCCTTTTGAGGAGAAAAATAAAATCAATTATTTTGAGTAACAAAAAAACAAAAACCAAAAGTAGTGCAAAGTTTTCACATACCTGCAGAGACATAAACTGGGAGGTATTTTTAGGAATATATTTTTCATACTGACAATACGCCAATTGTGATTTTGTGGTTAAAAATTGTACCAGGCCTTTACTTGCAGAAACTTATAATTTTACGGTTCTGTCGTTTCCTCCTTAAATTAAGTGAATTCTCAGCATTAGCGTTTTGTTTTTCATTGGAATAACAACTTCAATTTCCCTTCACTCTCAAATTTTCCCGCTAATTCAAAGAGATTTCGGAGATTCTGACATCCCCAAAAGACCCCTTGAATTCACTTGCTGGCGTTTCGTGGATGTGTTCGAGATAAGAATTTTTCGAAGAAAGCAATGGCAACTGAAATACTTGACAAATAAATAATAAATTTAATTTTTTGCGGTGAAAACGCCACCTGCTGGATAACACCATTCACAAGGGCCCGCGCCTCAGATCCTAGACTGGATGGGCCGGTTTCCTCATACCCCCTCTTGCCCCAATTATGGCAAACATTTTGCAGACGCTGGTTGACTTGTGGATTTTGGTTCAATTTTTTTGTTGTAATTTACAGGTTAATCTATATAAATAACTTGAGCTGATTTTATCTAACAACAATTTGAGCCGAAAACGGCTGTCTTTTTTGGGCCAGCGATGTTTAAGAACCTACCTTTTTAATGACAATCCACAAAAGAAATAAACTTATTCAATCGTTAAGTCAAAGAAGATTTCTTCCTAAACATAGAGAGAGAAGAAAATGACGTTAATGTATTCCGTGAAGATCCCGCGCTCTCTTGCGTCCTCGTGATTCGTACTAAAAAAATTTTGCAATTCGCAACAACGTTCCTTTTCATTCGATCTTTTTCAGTTTTTTTGCAACCAGCATTTAGAAATGAAAGCAACACGACTTTTTATTCCATTTTTGTTCGTACAGTCCTAATAGAGAATATTTTATCTTATTTCACACAAAAGTTTGATAAGTTGTTGTCTACAAACTCATTTTCACCCGCCATGGAACATTGCTAAAGTGTTTCTAAATGACGTATTTCTGCATATTGCATTTCTACCGGGACTAGACGCCAGCTATTGCCAAGTTGGACCATTCCTATTTTGTATTTCACCCACAATATCAAAATATTTTAACCAAGGACTGAGATACAGGCCAAGCCCCCCCCCCCCAAAAAACACTTGAGTAAAAGTTAAAGTAAAACACTTTTATTTTGTAAGATATGGTTTTTTTACACTTGTTTATCAGGGCTGCCCCCCCCCCCAAACAAAAAATTGTATCTCGGCCTTTGCTTTTATCATATTCCTCTCGAGCACAAATCTTTATTTACTCCTCTGCTCTTCTATCCCACTTTAAACAAACGTTTTCAGTAAACCTACAAGTCTATTATTGCAAGACCTAAACATGATGTCCAGAACGGAATGAACTTTTAATTAAAATCATCTTAAAAGATAAACTCCGTTTTGGACTTCTAGTTCTTAAATTTTTCATCCGATCCCCCTCCGAGCACTCTGTCCAGATGCGGATTGACTGTGGCCTATGAGGAAAAAAGGTTTTTTTTTCGCTCGAGTGGTTCAAAACAAGACAGCTTTCGTGTGATTTCAGCAGCTGTCTAGGTGCAATTTTCTTTTTTTAAAGCAAATTTGATTCCTTGTTATTCAATTTTATATTGTAATCAAGTTTGTATCGGATGGCCATTTAAAAAAGTTGGGTTGGCAACTTCGTTTAAGATAATGGAATGAAGAATCTCTGAAAATGTATTGCAAAACTGTTATGTAGCGGTCTAAGAAACAGTTTATAGTATGTAGTTGTAGAAAAGACAATGTTTAAATAAGAACAATAAAATTACAACATCGAACCACAAGAAAAATTATCTGGTTCTTACAAAAAAGAGTTTAAGAAAATTGATAATCATATACCTTTCGTTTGACGATACTTTGAAATATTTTTTAGATTTGATATTTGATATTTTTGAATTTTCGTTAATTGGCTGCACCTACAACGTTCTACGTCCGAGCGTGGTATGGCCCAACGCGTTTCATTTAGGTCTTCATTTGTTCAGACATTTTATTGAGAATTGGCTTTCAATTCAAGCTACTCTACGCCACATATTCGGGCTACATACACTACAATTAAGGCACCATTTGCGAAAGAAAGCAAAAGAACCAGATTGCAAAAGAAAACGTGTTATACTTTATAGTAAAAGCCCTCCTCCCTGCCGCGCAGTGTAGTGATTCCTCTTAAAAAAGTAGTATTTTACACTATAAAAAAGTCCTTGAACAACCTTTCTATGGTCCCAGTCTCATTCACAATAGAAATTTTAAGTGATGACGTCACAAAAATATGTTTTTAGAATTTTTGAATTTGGATCCAATAACCCGAAAGAGCAGATAAAGGTGTCACGAATTGGCTGAGAGATGGCCACATGAGCTAGGCTCTTGTCCCATCAACTCACTATAATTTGGTCTCGGTTCAAATCTTTATGAACATAGCCAGAATGACAGTAACCATATTCCACCTGACATTTGAAAAATATTTAACAGATTTTGCATATTTAGAAGTATATCATGGTAATCTTTTAAGTTTCATGGTCAAAATTAAAAAAATAAAGAACTAGAAATTTTACGATTTCGATGTCACACTTGAGCACCATATCAGTCCATTTCAATATTCGTCTTTGTTCCCTTATGGTTTTCTCCTGTGCAGCAACCCTACTTTGACACAACCTGCAGCACTAAATCGACACTGTTAATTACATGGTTAAACGTTTATGCGTGTTCCCCCTTTTTGCTTCATGTCTTCTTCATCGCACATACTTCGCCTGAATCTTGAAAATGCCAATGTTGTGGATTTGGACAAGCAATAAAGGCCTCCTCCTGCTAATGATCTCAGCGTCGTGAGTTCGCTTCCCTTCGATTCTTGATCGCAATTACTTCCCACTCTTCCCACTAGCCAACAGCTAACTAAGCTAAACTTAGCTGTTCATTCTTTTGTCTTTGGTAAATGAGAATCCAGGGCATTTGTTCTAGAATATCAGTCTTCAGAGAACACCTCGGTCCCACTTCAGCTACAAGTTTAGGGAACTAATAACTTTCCGTAGTAGGAAATGCAAAGTTAAGGAACTCTGGTCGCGTTTCTCGGTGGACCATATATAAGGTCCTATGACTCTATAGTTGTCATGGTGCACTCCCTTAAAAACTGGTTTTCTTCTTCCTAAAGATATTAGGCCAGTTTTTTGTATTATAGTCGCAAAGCGTGCCGGTTACACAGGAGCCTTTAAATCCAAATGCCCGTTTGAGGCTTTCTCTTTGTTAATTGCCCTCTAATCCTTTTGTCGTTATTTTCTCTCTATTTAATGACTAGAAACATCTGTTTCGTTCTCTCGAGAAAGAAGCCAGAATCTTCATTTTAACGATTCAATCAATGTGCATGTTTGGGAAACAAATTTTTGACTTCAAAATAGCACGGAAAAACGAAGACCTGGCATACTAAAGTACTTACGCTTGAATAACGATAAAAAATTAAAGCGAAAGAATATGCTCAGAGTCAGACATATGTCAAATACGACGTGAGAGAAAAAGCAAAGCAGCAACTGCTCTACCCCTCAATAACATGAATATTCCAAAAATCGGAACTCTTTAGTAGACACTGAAACATTGCCACAAAATTTAATTCAAAACCTGTTTTTGGAATTTTTTATGTTCGACCACATTATCTGAAAAAACAGCACAAAATAACTCTCAATATACAAAATCAGCTAATTATGTTCAAAATTGGGTGTGATAATAATAATAATAATAAAAATAATGATAATAATAATCTATATTTATACAGGATAATAGAATTGGTCAGCTTGCTCAGAAGCTGCTATCAATCAAGGTCCTGTTAAAATTGAAGTTGAAAAGAAAATGAAAGATTTTAGGTTTCCTATTGGTTTCTGTTATTCTGGCCTACTTCGTAAATTTTTTGAACCAAGACCAGATTCCAGCGATTTGACGGTGAAAGAGCCTTTACTGGTGTGGCCATGTCTCAGCCAATGCCCATGGATGTAAACTGAATTCAATGGACCTGGCTGCGAAACGGTTTACTGCTCATCTGCTAAAAAGCTAAAGCCTTCCTTTTAAATTCCCTTACTTGAATAGCCATGTATGTATGCAGATTTACAGCTCAGGTTGTGAAATCGCCACCTAAACGCAATCAAGAAAAATTTAACGTTGTACTTGAATTTGAATGACAAAATGCAAAATTTTACAAATTGCTGATTGATATGACAATAAGTGATAGCCGAACCTACATCTGTTGAAAATCTTTAAGGCTAGTTTTCACGAGCAAGTTTTCTATGACAATTTTTAATTGACAATCTTTTTTTGCCCGTGTAGATGAGGTCAATTTGAGCTCATATGACAATTTTTCATATGACAAGTGTACTTTTTCAAAAGCTGGCATGCCAGCTTTTATTTGCCATATGAAAAATTGTCATATGTGAAGCTTGCTCGTGTAAACGCTTTGACAAGTAAACTTGACAATTATCTAAAATCTTATGTTTCTGGCGCGAAATTTATTAATGAAAGTGAAGCTAGCCTACAAAATTGAGCGAATACCGCTGGCGAAATCCATTGCCTTCAGAACGAAAACGTGTCAAAGAAACTTGCTACTCATCCACACGAGCAAATACATTTGACAATTAAAAACTTGTCAAATATCCATCTACACGAACAAGAAAACTTGTCAAAAAAAAATTGTCATAGAAAATTGCTCGTGTAAACTACGCTTTAAGGATAAAAGTGTTTTAAGACTAACACACTTTTAATGTTTGCGTAAAGATAAGTGGGAATATTGATTATATGTACAGTATAGAAACAGACACTTTAACGGTATCATTTATCAATGTTTAGTCAAAGTATAAAGAGCCTGCTAACAGGGGAATAAAATTAATACTTGCCTGCTGATAGCATTAACAGTGAAACACGGAGATGCAACTTAGCCTGTTTACATACTAAAACTTTTGTAAACATATTTAGATAAACAAACAAGATATTAAGATGCAAAAGGAAATCTATTATTTCTGATTGCTTCTTTTGGCAATGTTCCCTTCTCCTTCCCCTTAATTTAAAGTTTGCTTAAAAACTTTCAGCTCTTTTGACAAATAAGATAATGTACTGCACTAGAGAAGTGTAAATGTTGCTTTGAACATGGTGCTATTTGCACCTAGGCCATGAAAACTACAAATGCACAAGATCAAAGGTTATCTCCCTAGCAACGCGCCTCCACAGCTCTGCTTATCCGCGCCTTCGGCACGACCCACTTCTAGTTTACGAAGACATCATAATTTTTTACTGTTATACTTTAATGGTAATTGAAGCTTATAGCAATATAAAGTAATTGCTGTTCAGTGCTGACAAAGAACAAATCCAAGGAAATCCGATGCACAATTCATTCCACATTTTGCTGGTGTTGCTATTCGTCTTTATGCATCATGTAACAGGCCATGGTCGCACAGGTAATCATTTTGAAGCTTTTTTAGGCCTAAGGCAACAATAACTTGTATTATGTAAAATGATGCACATTATAGTCCCGATAACTCGAAACCCCTATAACTCGAACTTGAACTGTTTTTGTTTTCCCCTTGAATCTTACAAATTTCATATGAAAGCGAGATTTCAAGAGCATCCGTTACTTTGAACTATTTTCATCGTTCCTAACGAGTTTTTAGTTACAAGTATTATACTATCTTCTTGATGCTTTATTTTCATACAAACCTAACTAGTATAGTCTGTGCTGCTTGAGTTTCGAAAAATGGCATGTAGCCATCTAATGAAGGACCCAGCAAAGAACAAGAATATTCATACTTCTTTCCAAGTAATCATTAGCATCTACTGAAGATTCCATTTAAAATTTAATTTTGAGGCGTTTCCTCGAGAAAAATATTGCATCTAGCAATTTTGAATTTCAAAAGCTTTTATCTCCTAGACCTTATAGATATGAACCCCCTGGTTTTGAACAGTGCTCATATTTATTTAGACTTCGATTAGAAATGATTAATCACTAACTGTACTGGCGGATGCGCAAGTGGAAATTTGGCATCGTGTTTTTCTCCCGAACAGCACAGATATTTTGATCGTTGGTCAAAATCTGTGATGGTCAACTATAAGGCAATCAAAAAGGGATTAATTCTTGCTGCTTCGTGCAACCATCGTGATTTGCAAAGCATATTTCTATAAGATGAATATATATATAGAGATCTGCTTTGCAAACCACGATGGTTTGCAAATCGGCAAAGGAACCTCTGTATTGAAATTTTCAATACTATAGAAAAGGTTAAATCCTGAATTCATGCAAAATATTTTCGAACAAGGAACCTCTGATCGATCCTCAAGTCGTCCACAAGACTTGCAGCACTACAGGCCCAACCAAACAACTTTCGGTACAAACAGCCTCAGGTCCCTCGGACCACAAATTTGGAATGGCTTACCACAGGAAATAAAATCTGCAGAAAATCTGATCCAATTCAAAAGATTAATTAAAAATTGCGGCGGGACAACCTGTACATGCAAAAAACTTAATGATTTTATTGTAAATTTGCATTTAAAAACTATTAAAAATTGTTAATTTATCGAATTAGACAAGTTACGGTTGTGTAGCTTAAGATTTATATATTCGATTAAAATGAGATTACAACAACAAATCGTGCAACTTTAAGCACGTTGTAAGGTCGTTTACACGATCAAATTCTGTGATCACATAGAAAATGCGAAGTGAATATGATGAAAATTTTACCTGAATATGACCGTGCTTACCGGCCTTTATTCGATTAGAGTGATTGCGCGTATCACAATGAAATTGTTGAAGCACCACAGTAAACAGTGATTGCGCGTATCACGATGAAATTGTTGAAGCACCACATTAAACTAAGGCTTCGCTGTTGCTTTGACCATATTCTGTTCGCAAAACAGCAGCGTGTCATATAGAATCCTTGGTTCAACGCAATTTCTTATGTTAAATCGTCGACCACTATGCCAAGGCTACCCTTTGGGGGGGGGGGGGTACTCCCTTTATGGCCTAACGGGGGAATCCAGGCAAAGCCAAAGCTAAAATGATGTCCTTGGTAGCATACATTTCTTTGTGCTCGCCTGGTCCTACTTTGACAAATTTCTTCTCCATTAACTGTTGTTTATCAAAGAAAGAATGAATCTTGTTCCTTTTCTATAATAAATTAAAAGTACCGCCTTAGAGGTAGCAACTACTTAAAAAACCTCCAAGTGCTTGTGTTATTATCGAAGCTTGTTCATTTGGTAGCCATTTGGTAAGACCCTCAAATCGACTGGGCCTCCCGTCAGACCTTAATGGGAGCACCCCCCCCCTCCCCCCCCTCCCGCTGTCCCTGCTTATAACAATTTACTTTGTTTGCATATATGAAGAGAAACTTTTTACGTTTTTAGGAAAACAAAGAAAACAGATAGCTATAACAGTCGTATCGGCAAGTAAAGAGTATTGGGTTCCCAAAGTTAAAGTGACTTTGCTGGCGAATGTGAGTAAATCAATCAAAGGACTGATAGATGAGCTGTGTCTTATTTTCCATCGCTCATACGAAATGTCAAAGTATAAGGAGAATTATCCATGCCACAAGAGATCAAAGAAGATGTTGCTTTTTGAGAAAAAGCACATGAGAAGAATGTATCGGAAGAAAAAAAATGGAGTTCTTATGAAACTAAGTGATTATCGAATTAAAAATGGTACAGAGTTCATCCTTAATTATTCATAAAACACAGAGTTCATCCTTAATTATTCATAAAACAGCCTTCTTTCCTCGATTGACTAGATTTTGTGAAAAATTTAATTTTTTGCCAGAGTCCTTATAGCGCCCTTAATTAAAAAAAGTATTAAAGATTGAGAGTATCCGGTTGTAAATACGAAAATTGTACTTCTTCAGCCCAGAGACAATGCAGGATAGGCAATACATCTAGTTTAATGGGTGAAGCTGCAAAAATTGTCTGTTTTCTTTTCTCGCAGGGGCCTCTACTTATAATTTTGAACCACAGCCTCCAAACACCTGTAACAAGTTGATCTACTACATTGAAAATACTTAATGGATTGGCTTTCATCTGCTCTGAGTGAATCCTGCCTTTAAAGGGTGAATAGCTCAAGCAATATTATGATTATTTTTGGAGCTCGAAATTTTTTTCTTACAATAAGCTCTGGGCCCTCACTCTGTCTTTATCCTGTCATCTATTGGTATCACGGTTTACCACACTAGCCAGGAACTTAAACAGCATTCTAGATTGAGTGGTTGTCTTGCTAAACAGCTGAGCAGATGAGTAACATTCTCAATATCTAAACCAGGTTATCTCAGGATAGTTTTGCTTGACACACCCATCCCTGAACTTAAGCCCTGGTGAAACGATCCAACATTCTTTAGTTGCCTCTTTAAGATCTAGTGACGAAAAACATTTCCTATCGCACCTACGCTGAGTTGATTTCTTAGATAATGATCTTTTATCCTCTACTTTTTCTGTTAAAAGCACATGGAAACACGTATCAGCTGCACATATGAATCAACTAATTACTCTTGTTGCAAAGCAACGCACAGTTATATGTGAAGCAACGCCCTTTTAATTTTAAGCTTGATGTTTTCATCCCATTGCAGTGAAATTTGGATACATTTTCCGACCTTCTTTCATTCCTATTCTCAGTAATTAGAGTAATATATTTTATATTCGTATATATTCGAATATTCTTTTATTTATATATATGTTCATATTTGTATATATTAGTGTAGTTTTGTATAAATTGGCATGCTTTGAATTGAATTTGGGTTATTTTTATATCAAGTTTGTATTTATGATTCTTGTTTGAAGCAAACAAGCAGGTAACACACCAATGAACACAACCAAATTCCAAACTTGACTCCAATAATTCCCAACTCACATCACAGTTATTTTCAAACTGATAAATATATACAACTGACACTTCGTCGTAACTCATTAAACTTTTCCCAGTAGGCGAATATTTTCTGGCGATGCGAAGCGATCTAGTTAACGCATGCGTGTTAAACAGTTCACGAGCGAAATCCATCGCTGCGGCATTTTACCGCGATCCATATGGTGGCTCGATAAGTTCAGCGATAGGCTTTGCTTGTGAATGCATGCGTAAACTCTAATCGCTTCGCTCCGCATGAACAGATTCGCCTATTTGAAAACCACCTTTTTAGTTGCTCTTGCACCTTATAATGGCTTTTGCTCCTTATAATAGCTTTTGTTCCTTATCTCATTAGTGGATCTTGTCCTTTCCATTGGCTTCTGAGTGTTCCATGCACATTTTAGTTGTCGCTGCCCTCAAACAGCAGCACGTGGTTTTCTGTATAAGTTAGCAGAGCTCGATGTTTCAACTCTTACGATGAGTTCGCATTATAGAGCGGCAACTGACAGCGAAATCCTATTTATTCAAACGAGGCAGCCTCGTAGTTAGCGTTAGTCAATGTGCTCCACTGCAAAATTTATATCTGATGTTGCTCAGATCAATTCCAATTTTGCTTACCAATGGAACATAACACCCAGTGAATCAATAAAAAGTCGAAATTTGAACGGAATTGAAAGTGAAGGAGCGTTCCATGCATATACGCAGCCTTTCCGTTGATCGACCCTTACTAAACAATTATCAGGGCAACTAAATTCCATCGACTACTCTTCGCCCTGACGCATCACTCTGTTGTTTTCGTTTACCACAAATTTCAAAAATTTTCAGGTTGTCCATGATCGACTTGCGAACATCGGCACTTCTAAGGATGTAAATAAATGGGTTGAAGGAACTGTTCAGCTGGATCAATGTCTCTGGTATTCTTGCAGCATAAAGGAAGGTACTGTCCTTTACGCCAAAATAGGATATACATTTATGAGTGATTTTGGGAATATAAAATATGATAAATGCAGTTATTATTATCATTATTGTTTTGTTACGTTTTACTTCTTTCTTCATCCCAACACTCATAGTTGAAACTACCTGGTTTCTTCTCATAAGAACTCGTCCGATCTTAATGTAAAAGATAATTACCATCCCCAATACAATAACATAATAGACGATGGTAAATTTGTAGAAGCCATCCGTAGGCAGCACACCAGAGTATGCTAACGTCACTATAGCAAAAGAGACAAGGTAAAGTGCTGCAGATATAGTGACCCAAGTCCTTGTTTTTCTATCAGCTGCCTTGTACCTGATGGGATATTGGGTACCCAACCACCTATCGATGCTGATCAGCCCTATCATGCCTATTGTCGTCATTCCAAATAAGAACGAGAGGTATCCATAAACTGTCTTTAGCGTGCATAAATGTTTTCCCATTGCTTCGCTTATTCTAAGAACAACTGCGCTTGTCTGGGTCGTTGCCCCAACGAGACAGTCACTAAGGCATAATCCTGCAAGCAGATAATTCGAAGCCGATTGGTTGATTGATTTTCTAACGAATGCTTGAAGTACCAGCAGGTTTCCGACTGTTGCAAATATTGCTCCGAGTATGTGTAAGCTGGCAGAGAGTGCTGCAATGGATACAACAGCTTGATTATAGACGAAGGGAACAGTCTGCAAATGGAAGCATACTGTGTTCGATGTGTAATTGGCCATTGTAAACCTAGAAAAATAGTTGATATAGAAAAAATTATGTAAGGCCGATTTCAAGCTCAATTTATGGTGTTTTAAATTTTTTGTATTCACTTTATACCTTACCTTTCCAATAAGCTTTATATCTTATCATTATACAGCAAGGGCAGCAAAGAGGGGGCAAGGGGTAGATTGCCCCAGGTCCCGACCTGTGAGGGGCCCAAAAAAAGATGATTATGGGTGATGATTCTGTAAGAGAGACTAGTGGCTGATGATTTTATCAAGCCATGCAGCCGTGTGGATTTCTAAGTTCTGCCTGCTTTTTTAGCACGGAAGTTCACTGTGTTAGCTCCTCGTCATTTTAGAGCTTTTTCTCAAATCGTATGTTTATATGATTGCATTTTTTTAAATTGGCCGGCATTAGCAATGTCGTACTTATTTCAGTGCGTTTAAGCTAATCTAAAACTAAGAAACCGGTTGCTTCAATCCTCAGCATATCACAAAAAGTTACAGTTTCCTTTGAGACTTGAAAATAGCAGATGGCAACGGCAATCTTGAGTTATCTAGTTCATTTGTATTCATTCAATTGGTAGCAACCAACCGTCCCTTTTAATGTTCCCTTGAAACCAAAGTTCAAATAAGTTTTTCTCACCAAAAAGTGAAAGTAGGTTTAAAGCGCTGCTTTCCTAAAAATTACGAACATATTTTCTTTCATTTGTAATTGATCTATTGCAAAGCATTTTTTTTATGAAATCGATCGAAGAGATGTTGCAATCCAACATTAAACGAAAGAATATTTCTTTATCAAAACATGCAAGATAAGCAGTGAATTAATTCTTGAATCCTGTGCAAAATATAGAGACCATTGTAAGCGAACTTGGATGATCCCAATATCAATCGCTATGATAACAGCCATAATCTTGAAATAGTTACGATTGGCGAACTTGCTACAAGGACAAGGTTATAAATACTTCCTTGCTTTTCGCGTAAAATGAAACAAGTACAAACCTGGTTTTAATGCGATATAGCGTTTGGTATTGGCTACACTTATATGTAAAACTTATCTGTTTTTTAAAATAAAATTCCTACAATACAAATCTGAAGTCCAATAACACAATGATTCTATGTTATATGATATAAGATAAAATAGTATTAGGTATTTTACCTTCTTTTTCGAGCCGAAGCTGGTACAGAAACCAATATGTCTTTCTAGTTGTAAGAATCTCATTTATTTTTTAACAATGTAGCTCTTCAAAATGGCAGCTTTCGCTGATGTGGATCTAATTGTTTGATCGAAAACGCGTTCTTTAGTCTGTTGTATCGATTGACTTTTCGCAACGCAGATGTTTTTAATAACGGCCAAGAAGAAAAAAGGTCATGATTATAGCGCCATGTGGCAGCATAGAACATGCAATTATTGATTATCTTTGGCATTTTGTGAACTCCAGGCAATCTACAGGCTGCTCCGGACACCCCTCTGTAGCAAGCCCGGTGAAAACCTTCAAGATGAGACATTCAAGTTCAAGTTTTCGTATTTGAAATTCCACTACATACAAAAGTCTGAGAACAATACAACTAAAAACAACAAATATAATAGTAATTAAATACAACACAAATTATACATACTACTGAAATGGACTTTTGTAGGGAGAGGAATTTATTTAAGGAGGAGTTCTCTCAGAAGATAGACTAATCGAGGAGAGAGCACCACCTGAGCAAAGAACCTTGTTATTCATCAAATTTTAACTTAATTAGAATTGATCAGAGAAGGAACAAAGTTATTTGATAGAGGGGAGTCCCCTTTCAAGAACTCGTATGACCCTGGAATTTTTCCGTTTCCAAACGTCCCCTACAAGCTGTGATTTTCTTTTCACCATTTAGTCTTAAGTTCCTTCTTTGGCACATAATACCATCCCCTGCCAGCTCAAACAAATTTTGCTGCCCCTGACCTTTTTACAAGTCATCCTCCGTAAAAAAAATGATCACCGAACTTGTAACACAGGGGTGTCTGTGGAGGTAATATTAAAGAGAATCATTGCTTTAAGAGAGTATTTGTCAGTTCAACCTCATAGAAATAGCCAAGCTGTCCCCTTTCACTAAACAACAATATTGGAAATATACCTCTATCATCCTAGTTTCTACCGTACAGGTTACGTTTGAATACTGTATTTCTATGGAAAGTAATCCAACGAATATTGGACGGTGAGAGGGAAAACTAGTAATATGACCGGAAAATGTGCGGTTTGTGTTTCAGGACTTGGCAGGCAATGTATTTCATTTGTTCTGGTTTCAACATGCATAGACAAGGGAAGTCGGAAAAAACGGAGAGGGGTTAGAATATCAAGAAAATTTGATAAGCAATGTGTTGGAATAAACGGGGTGGTTTGGAGGGCCCAGAATAAAAGCGAAGTGATATTCTCTATTGGAACGATGGGCGACACCACTCCAATCACTTTTGTAGCTTATATTGTAATATTTGTGTCTCTATGTTAAGTGTAAGTCTTAGGGTTGTTATGCATTTCCATGCTCCCTAGGCTTTTGTATTGTAACTGATTGTCGTTGTAAACTTTATGAGAATATATAAAAAAAAGTTACACGTGCAAAACACAGGGGAACCTCAATTAACAATCAACAAATATCTGGTGGGCTTGAAAGACCGGGGGATTTATAATATGGGTGGCGCCATAGGAGGGCTAGGGGGCCTCAGCCCCCCCCCCCCATTTTTGCAAAAAGTGTTTTTAAGAAGATAAAGAGAATAAAATCAAAGGAATAGAAGAAAAGAATAGTGCGATAAATCCTGTTATTGCTTAATTTTCAAGGAATAAGAGGTCTGTGAGGCCTTTATAAAATAATGAATTCCATTTTAAGGCTAAAATTAATCAACAAACTAAAGTATGCCCTAAAAATAGCAAAATGTTTTAAATTATTGCAAAAATAATCACTGTGAGAAATATTCTGAGGTGCATTTTAAGCTTATCTAAAGGGTGTGCTCGCAAAGATTTTCTCTTCTTTTACAAGCCTTTTAGAAATACCTAAGGTCTCCGACAACTTCTCGCCGGCCCTTCCAGTGTACCGCGATGATAGTTGATAGCCCCCCGCCCCCCCCCCCTTTGAATTTCTTAGCGTCGCCCCTGTGTAACAATTTCAAGGTCTATGCAAGGTCAATGAAGTTTTAAAACCAAACACGTTGGATGGGCGTTTATAAGGCATGCTATAATAGGTCACCTGCTAGTTGCTGATTAATACTTCGATTAACGTTGACGATTTTGTCACGTAATAAGTAGAATAGAGCGCAGATGGAGACTTTTTGATGTTGAAAAACCATGTAAATCGCGGCAGAACGGCGAAACACCTTCTTAGCATAAAACGACTAGAATAGAAAACTTGGAAGTAAATAACAAGCAAAAACCAAGGAATGAGAGTTAGAAAAAGCTGTTATGTTGTGTCACAAGTATTTCGAAAAATAAGTTGGAGATGATCTACAAAATAAAAAGAGCCGTTAGAAATGAAATACAACAAGTTCATAAAAACAAAAAAGTTTGAATTTCCTCATGAAATTTATCTCAAAAAGTATTTTGGTAAAGAATAAAGGACATCCTACACAAAATATCAACTACACAGTAAAAAAGACTTTGAATTGCCAGTAAAGCTAGCTCCTAAAAAGAAAATAGGAAAAATTTTCTAAAAATGTTTTAGCAGATTATCGACCAAAAGAAAGACTATAGGCTTAGAAAATGATGTGAATTTGAGCTGAAACTTTTTTTGAAAAATCAAGCTGGAGAAGGTCTACCTATTCCAAATAGACCTTAACAATTTTTGAACTGATTCCTAAGAAGAAAAGGGGATGACATTTGTCGAAACCAATTATCTCCTGTCTAAAGCATGGCCATGAACTTAAGAAAATTGGTTGGCTTTTCCTTAAAAGATTGAAGCTGGAGATGATCTACAAACTCTCGACTCTATTTCAGGTTTTGTTTTGATCTAAAATAGCAGTATTCTTGGATAACGATTTTTGTAAAAAAGGCAAGGCTATAGGCTTAACAAAATATCCAATTTTGGACAAAAAGTATTTTCATCAAAAACTTGGCTAAATATACTTTGAAATCGAGCCATGAAATCGTTTAAATCAAGTTTCGACTCTATTTCATGTTGCTTTTTATCTAAAATAGCAGCTAGTTTCAATTGTCCCACTTTATGATTGAATTCTCGAATCGTGCCGCCCACCCAAGCCCCGCCCCCCACTCCCCAGAAAAGAAACACATCCGGGATCCGAGGCATATCCGGGACATGAAGCTCGTACGGGGTTTTGGCAATAGAGGACAATAGAAAGGGAGTGAACCATGGCATAATCATTTGTGGGAGGTGTGAAATGAGCAGAAAAACAACTCGAATCGAAGAGGAGAGACAGAAAACAACTGGCGGAGAGAGGAATGAAACTGTCAGAGGAAGATACATTGAACTGTTGAGACGATAGAAAAGGCTGAAGCAATGGAAGAGAGCAGATCGTATGAAAGTTTCTTCTTATTAAGTTTTGATTCTGCTAGGACCATTAAGAACCTTGATTTTCGTTCATGTTTTGGATGGAATTTGTATTGAAATTTGCCTTGCGGTACATAACACAGGAAATTGAATGATTCGTTGCTCGACGTGCGACTAGCAATCAAGATCAGAGAATCAAGATTGGTTTATTCGAAAAAAGAACTCGGAATCACATAATGCTGCATTCAAAAGCTTATCATTTGTGACATCGATGACGATTTTCATCAAAAAGGCAAGGCTATAACCTTACCAAAATATACAATTTTTGACCTAATATTTTTTCATCTAAAACTTCGCTTAAAATACTCTAAAGAAGCCATAAAATCGTTTAAATTAACTTTTAACTCTACTTCATGCAGCTTTTTTATCTAAATTAGCAGCTTTTTTCGAAAACGTTTTTTGTCAAAAAGGCAAGGCTATATGCTTACCAAAATATCCAATTTTTTGCCAAAACTTTTTCATCTAAAATCTGCCTGAATATACTCTACAAAGTAACATAAAATCGCCTTAATCAACTCTCGACTCTTTTTAATATTGTTTTTGATCTAGAATAGCAGCTTTTTTCGATAACGATTTTCGTAGAAATAGCAAGGCTAAAGGCTTACCAAAATATCCGATTTTTGACCAAACATTTTTACATCTAAAACTTCCCTAAAAATACTATAAAGAAGCCATTAAATCGTTTAAATTAACTTCTGACTCTATTTTATGTTGTTTTTTTATCTAAAATAGCAGCTATATTTGTTGCCGATTTTTGTCAAAAAGGCAGGGCTATAGGCTTACCAAAATATCAGATTTTTGACCAACAATTTTTTCTTCTAAAACTTCCCTAAAAATACTCTAAAGAAGCCATCAAATCGTTTAAATTAACGTCTGACTTTATTTTATGTTGTTTTTCTATTTAAAATAGCAGCTATTTCCGATGAAGGTTTTCGTCAAAAGGGCAAGGCTATAGGCTTACGAAAATATCCGATTAGTCCAAAATTTTTTATCTAGATTTTCATTAAATATGCTAAAGGAAGCCATTTAATCGTTTAAATTAACTTTTGACTTTATTTCTTGTTGTTTTTTTATCTAAAATAGCAGCTATTTTTGATGCTGATTTTCGTCAATAAAGCAAGGCTATAGGCTTACCAAAATATCCGATTTTTGACCAACAATTTTTTCATCTAAAACTTCGCTAAAAAAACTCTAAGGAAGACATTAAATCGTTTGAATTAACTTCTGACTCTATTTTATGTTGTTTTTGATCTAGAATAGCAGTTTTTTTCGAAAACGATTTTTGTCAAAAAAGCAAGGCTATAGGCTTACCAAAATATCCGATTTTTGACCAACAATTTTTTCATCTAAAACTTCGCTTAAAATACTCTAAAGAAGACATTTAATCGTTTAAATTAACTTCTGACTCTATTTTATGTTGTTTTTCGATTTAAAATAGCAGCTATTTTTGATGCCGATTTTTGTCAAATAGGCAAGGCTACGGGCTTACCAAAATATCCGATTTTCGACGAAAACTTTTTTCATCTAAAACTTCGCTAAAAATACTCTAAAAAAGCCATTTAATCGTTTAAATTAACTTCTGACTCTATTTCATGTTGTTTTTGATCTAGAATAGCAGCTTTTTTCGATAACGATTGTCGTCAAAAAAGCAAGGCTATAGGCTTACCAAAATATCCGATTTTTGACCAAAAAGTTTTTCATCTAAAACTTCGCTAAAAATACTCTAAAGAAGACATTTAATCGTTTAAATTAACTTCTGACTCTATTTCATGTTGTTTTTCTATCTAAAATAGCAGCTATTTTTGATGCCGATTTTCGTCAAATAGGCAAGGCTATGGGCTTACCAAAATATCCGATTTTTGACGAAAACTTTTTTCATCTAAAACTTCGCTAAAAATACTCTAAAGAAGCCATTTAATCGTTTAAATTAACTTCTGACTCTATTTCATGTTGTTTTTCTATCTAAAATAGCAGCTATTTTTGATGCCGATTTTCGTCAAAAAGGCAAGGCTATGGGCTTACCAAAATATCCGATTTTTCTCCAACAATTTTTTCATCTAAAACTTCGCTAAAAATACTCTAAAGAAGCCATCAAATCGTTTAAATTAACGTCTGACTTTATTTTATGTTGTTTTTCTATCTAAAATAGCAGCTATTTCCGATGAAGGTTTTCGTCAAAAGGGCAAGGCTATAGGCTTACGAAAATATCCGATTAGTCCAAAATTTTTTATCTAGATTTTCATTAAATATGCTAAAGGAAGCCATTTAATCGTTTAAATTAACTTTTGACTTTATTTCTTGTTGTTTTTTTATCTAAAATAGCAGCTATTTTTGATGCCGATTTTTGTCAATAAAGCAAGGCTATAGGCATACCAAAATATCCGATTTTTGACCAACAATTTTTTCATCTAAAACTTCGCTAAAAATACTCTAAGGAAGACATTAAATCGTTTGAATTAACTTCTGACTCTATTTTATGTTGTTTTTGATCTAGAATAGCAGTTTTTTTCGATAACGATTTTTGTCAAAAAAGCAAGGCTATAGGCTTACCAAAATATCCGATTTTTGACCAACAATTTTTTCATCTAAAACATCGCTTAAAATACTCTAAAGAAGACATTAAATCGTTTAAATTAACTTCTGACTCTATTTTATGTTGTTTTTCGATTTAAAATAGCAGCTATTTTTGATGCCGATTTTTGTCAAATAGGCAAGGCTTACCAAAATATCCGATTTTCGACGAAAACTTTTTTCATCTAAAACTTCGCTAAAAATACTCTAAAAAAGCCATTTAATCGTTTAAATTAACTTCTGACTCTATTTCATGTTGTTTTTGATCTAGAATAGCAGCTTTTTTCGATAACGATTGTCGTCAAAAAAGCAAGGCTATAGGCTTACCAAAATATCCGATTTTTGACCAAAAAGTTTTTCATCTAAAACTTCGCTAAAAATACTCTAAAAAAGCCATTTAATCGTTTAAATTAACTTCTGACTCTATTTTATGTTGTTTTTCGATTTAAAATAGCAGCTATTTTTGATGCCGATTTTCGTCAAAAGGGCAAGGCTATAGGCTTACGAAAATATCCGATTCTTGACCAAAAATTTTTTCATCTAAAATTTCATTGAATATACTCTAAAGAAGCCATTAAATCGTTTAAATTAACTTCTGACTCTATTTCATGTTGTTTTTGATTTAAAATACCAGCTTTTTTTGATAACGATTTTGGTCAAAAAAGCAAGGCTATAGGCTTACCAAAATATCCGATTTTTGACCAAAAAGTTTTTCATCTAAAATTTCGCTAAAAATACTCTAAAGAAGCCATTAAATCGTTTCAATCAACTGTCGACATTTTTCAATGTTGTTTTTGATCTAAAATAGCAGCTATTTTCGATGAAGATTTTCGTCAAAAGGGCAAGGCTATAGGCTTACGAAAATATCCGATTTTTGACCAAAAATTTTTTCATCTAAAATTTCATTAAATATACTCTAAAGAAGGCATTAAATCGTTTAAATTAACTTCTGACTTGTAATGTATTAGGCATCGCGCGCGCATACACAACATATTATGGCGACGAGTTATCTAAAGAACCCAAAGAAGGATTAGAAAGTAATAATTTCGACAAGAGAATACGAGATATGGAAGAAAACGATAATCGAATAGGCCAGGCGCAGCAACCTCAACCAGTATCGATTCAATTACCTCCAGTTAAGGAATTCGATCCAAAAGGAGATCCTTCCACGGTAAGTCAAAGATGGCAAAAATGGAAGAAATCGTTCGTTTATTTTCTGAATGCAACAGGTATTCAAAATGATAGCCAAAAGAGGGCAGCACTTTTGCATCTTGTAGGAGATTAAGTGCAAGACATATTTGAAACATTAGGTGAGGTAGGCACAACATATGACCAGGCAGTAAATAAGTTAGATAGTCATTTTGATATCAAGAAGAATATTCCATTTGAAAGATGTGTATTTCATGAAACAGGTCAAGAAACAGGAGAGAACATAGATTCATATGTCACTAGGTTGAAAAAGTTAATCATTCATTGTGAATATGGTGATGCAACACAAGATGAGATAAGAGATCAAGTAATAGCAAAATGCAAATCAAGTAAGCTTAGAAAAAGATTGCTACAAGAGCCAGATCTCACATTAGATAAAGTTCTAAGAATAGGAAAGCTCATGGAACAATCAGACCTTCAGACAAAGAAGATAGAACAACAAAATGGTGCAGGCTCATCAGCTGACACAATGAAAGAATCTTTCTCAGACCTGAATAAAATAAGGCCAAATAAATACCAGCACAAAGGTAGGCAAGCAAACAGAAATCAAAAATACACTCAACAAAGGGAACAATGTGGAAGATGTGGAATGAAGAATCACAACAGTAAAGACTGTAGAGTGACAAAAGGGAAAAAGTGCATGAAATGTGGAATTATGGGACACTTTGCAAAATGCTGCAAGACCAAAAATCCAAAGAAACCAGAAAATCATCAAGTGAGAGCAAGTAAAGTCACAACAGAAAGTTCAAGTGATGATGAAACATCAGTATTCAAAATTGGAAGCAAGGAAAGACCAGTATATCCAGTCTATATAGATGGCACACCAATAAATATGCTCATTGACAGTGGATCAACATTGAACATCATTGATGAGATATCATTTCAGAAATTGCCAAAAGAACCACAACTTGAAAGCAGCAAGACTAAGATATTCACTTATCTAGGCAAAGAACCATTGAAACTAAAAGGAACATTCAGAGCAAGAGCTGAAGCATTTGGGAAAGAAACCCAAGCAAAATTCTATGTCACAAAAGGTTCAGGGGGAGCATTGCTAGGACAAAAGACAGCAGAAAAGCTTGATATTTTAAGAGTAGGCCCAGTTCTAGGTTCTAAAGCAGATCCAACAAATTCACTTCACAAATCAGTAAATGAAATCAGTCAAGAAAAGCCAACTGAACACAAAATAGATCCTAAGATTCAGAAAGTTCTGGACAACAACAGAGAAGTATTTGAAGGCATGGGTAAATTCAAAGACTACAAGTTAAAACTACATATTGATGAAAATGTCATTCCGGTTCAGCAGCCAATCAGAAGATTACCATATCATACAAGAAAGAAAGTTTCTGCAGAACTAGAAAGATTGTTGAAAAATGACTGCATAGAGAAAGTTAAAGGTCCAAGTACCTGGATAAACCCAATAGTAGTAGTACCAAAGCCAAATGGAACCATAAGATTATGTTTAGATATGAGAAGAGCCAATGAAGCCATAGTAAGAGAAAGACACCAGATTCCAAAAGTTGAAGAAATCCTCCCAGAGCTGCATAATGCAAAATACTTTTCAAAGATTGATTTAAAAGAAGGGTACCACCAACTAGAGTTAGCAGAGGAATCAAGGCACATAACAACATTTCTAACACATGAAGGTTGTTTTCAATCAAAACGTCTTGTGTATGGAGTCAGTTCAGCCTTTGAGCAGTTTCAGAAGGTTATTGAGCAAAGCATTGCAGGTTGCCCAGGCACAAGGTCAATATCAGATGACATTCTGATATGGTCATCGAGTAGAGATGAAATGGCAGAGCGTCTTGACACGCTATTCAAAGCATTGCATGCCAGAAACTTAAAGATCAATCCAAAGAAATGTGTATTTGGAACAACAAAGCTCACATTTGCAGGATATTGTCTAACAGACAAAGGAATTCATCCAGATAAATCCAAAGTGGATGCAGTCAACAATGCCAAAGTCCCAACAAATGCAACAGAAGTAAGAAGTTTCCTAGGTCTAGTCAACTTTTGTTCACACTTCATCAAAGACTATGCTACACTTACGGAACCTCTGAGGAAACTCACCAGAAAGGAAACTACATTTGCATGGAACAAGGAACAACAAGCAAGTTTCACAAAGTTAAAGGAAAGCCTTACAAATGCAAGCACAATGGCTTATTACCAGCCTCATGCAGACACAAAAGTTATTGTAGATGCTTCACCAGTAGGACTAGGGGCAATCCTTACTCAAAAACAACAAGATGGACAATTCAAGCCAGTTGCTTATGCATCACATGCATTAATCCCAACAGAACAAAGATATTCTCAGACAGAAAGAGAAGGCTTAGCCGCATTTTGGTCAACACAGAAGTTTCATTACTATTTGTATGACAGAGAATTTACAATAGTAACTGACCACAAACCACTTGAAAAACTATTATCAGCAAGAGGAAGCCCTACACCAAGATTGCAAAGATGGTTACTAAAAATGCAACCATACAAGTTCACTGTTCAATTTGAACCAGGACACACAAATGCATCTGATGTACTATCTCGTTCACCTTTACCAGCTACAGGAGAAAAGTTAACTGATGATACAGAACATTTCATCAACTCAATTGTTTATGATGCTATTCCTAAATCAGTCACAATAGAGGAAATTCAAGAAATATCAAGAAATGATGAAATATTGAAAAACATCAAAGAACAGATTAAATCAGAGAAATGGTCAAAAAGTCCACAATACAAACCATATTTTCTGAACCGGAGAGACCTCTGGATCAAAGATGATATTATTTTAAAAGGCACAAAGCTAATAATTCCCACAGATCTAAGACAAAGAATACTTGCCACAGCACACCAACATCACTTAGGCATTGTGAAAACTAAAGGATTACTTAGAGAAAAAGTATGGTGGCCAGGAATAGATCAAGAAGTGGAAAACTTGATAAAACATTGCCATGCATGTCAAGTAACAGGATCCAATAAAGTCAATTTTGAACCACTTGAGGTAACAAAGATACCCTCAACAAATTGGCACACAGTAGCTTTGGACATTCAAGGACCATATCCAACAAAGGATTACTTAATAGCACTCATAGACTACAGATCAAGATATCCAGTAGTTGCACAAGTCAAAACTATCAACACAAAGACGGTAATCAAAGCATTGGATAAGATATTTTCTATGTTTGGTTACGTGCACAAATTAGTTGCTGACAATGGAAAACAGTTCATTTCAGACGAATTCAAACAGTACCTCAAACAACATGGGATAAAGCTAAGGAATGTGACACCGTATTCACCATGGGTCAACGGTTAAGTTGAAAGATTCAACAGATCACTCAAAAAGGCAAATCAATGTGCACACGCAGAAGGAAAAGATTGGAGAGAAGAGCTGAACAAGTTTCTACTTCTCTACAGAACAACCCCACATGCAACAACAGGACAGTGCCCAGCTACAGTATTTTTTGGACGTGGTATCAAGAATGACATACCAGAATATGCAAAGGATGAACCACAAGACACAGAATTAGATAGGAAAGACAGAGAAAAGAAAGGAAAAATGAAAAATTACACAGACATCAAAAGGAATGCAAAAGACAGTGAATTTCAGGAACAAGACACAGTGCTAGTAAAGAATCTCTGGAAAAATGACAAATTATCTCCAAATTGGTTAAATGAGAAATTCAAAGTCATCAAGATCTACAGGAAAAGTGCTTTACTAGAGAATGAAAGAGGAAACAAATTTTACAGGAACAAAGCTCATCTCAAGAAATACAATGAGAGTGAATCAAACAGACAAGCAGTACCTCAAAAGGAGAACACACACAACACAGATGAAGAGGAAGACATCTTAGCAGAGGAACTCTTAATTGACAATGCGCAAAATGTCGCAAGGCCAACGCGTTCCGAGCGCAGACCGAATAGAGCAATCACTAATGCTAATGACGCCAATAACACTCCACACTTAAATGAAAACAATAATTCTAGTTTGCATGAAAGTGATAATGCTGACATGCATCAAAATAGTGAAAATAGGTTTAAGGAAGGAATTGTTGAGGATCATTGGAATAAACAAAGCAATGAAGACATACAAGAAGATATTGGCAACAGAACACCAGTTTTTGTACCAGATTCTGTTCCAACAGCCATTCAAGAACAAGTACAAGTGAAGAGATTTCCAATAAGAAGGAGTCGTAAGAAGAAAAACTGAATAAAAAGGACAGACAGGAGGTTGTATATATTTATATTGATTGACTTTGCACAAGTTGATTGAGCAACACATTGGAGTTCTACTAGTTATGTTCATTATAATCAAGAAGCTGGAACTTTGAAGATTATATATTTGTTTTGTTGATGGATGAATATCACATATACTTTTGCTGACACTGAAGAACAATCATCTACGCTGAAGGACTAAAGCTGAAGAACATTGTTTATATTAATTGTTTGTTTGGTTACGTTTACAAAACTCATATAGAAACCCTAGAGGACAATTTCAAGAAAAGGGAGAATGTAATGTATTAGGCATAAACCATTTT